ATGTCTTGATATTGAAATCCCTAAATATGTTCCAAATTCAAACCTTGGTAAATTCATTATACCAATCCAGCAGGTAAACCAGAATGTCAAACGACACATATATCCCCCTATCTAGCCATTAACTCACATAATTGGTAATTGTATTACAGAAACTTGCCAAAAATGGGTACATGGAAGTGTTCAATTATGGAAAAATCAACGGAAACCATTTTGACATTTAAGGCCCATGTGACTTTGACCTAATGACCCCTTAATCAATAGAGGTCATCTACTACTTATGACCAATAACTAGGTGAAATATGAAGACTTTGTGATGAATACTTTTCAAGATAGTCAGCGGAAACCCTTTTGACATTTAAGGCCCCTGTGACTTTGACCTTTGACTTAGTGACCCCAAAATCAATAGGGGTCATCTACTAGTTATGACTAATCACTATGTGAAATATGAAGACTTTGTGATACATTCTTTTCAAGATAATCAGGGGAAACCATTTTGACATTTTAAGGTCCCTGTGACCTAGTGACCCCAAAATCAATAGGGGTCATCTACTAGTGATGACCAATCACTATGTGAAATATGAAGACTTTGTGATACATACTTTTCAAGATAATCTGGGGAAACCATTTTGACATTTTAAGGTCCCTGTGACCTTGACCTTTGACCTAGTGACCCCAAAATCAATAGGGGTCATCTACTAGTGATGACCAATCATTATGTGAAATATGAAGACTTTGTGATACATACTTTTCAAGATAATCAGCGAAAACCATTTTGACATTTTAAGGTCCCCGTGACCTTTGACCTAGTGACCCCAAAATCAATAGGGGTTATCTACTAGTGATGACCAATCACTATGTGTAAAATATGAAGACTTTGTGATACATACTTTTCAAGATAATCAGCGGAAACCATTTTGACATTTAAGGCCCCTGTGACTTTGACCTAGTGACCCCAAAATCAATAGGGGTCATCTAGTAGTAATGACCAATCACTGTGTGAAATATGAAGACTTTGTGATACATACTTTTCAAGATAATCAGCGGAAACCATTTTGACAATTAAGGCCCCTGTGACCTTGACCATTGACCTAGTGACACCAAAATCAATAGGGGTCATCTAGTAGTTATGACCAATCACTGTGTGAACTATGAAGACTTTGTGATACTCACTTTTCAAGATAATCAGCGAAAACCATTTTGACATTTAAGGTCCCTGTGACCTTGACCTTTGTCCTAGTGACCCCTAAATCAATAGGGGTCATCTACTACTTATGACCAATCACTATGTGAAATATGAAGACTTTGTGATACATACTTTTCAAGATAATCAGCGGAAACCCTTTTGACATTTAAGGCCCCTGTGACCTTGACCTTTGACCCCAAAATCAATAGGGGTCATCTACTAGTTATGACCAATCACTGTGTGAAATATGAAGACTTTGTGATAAATACATTTCAAGATAATCAGCGGAAACCATTTTGACATTTAAAGCCCCCTTGACCTTTGACCTAGTGACCCCAAAATCAATAGGGGTCATCTACTAGTTATGACCAATCACTGTGTGAAATATGAAGGTTTTGTGATACATACTTTTCAAGATAATCAGCGGACACCATTTTGATATTTAATGTCCCTCTGACCTTGACCTTTGACCTAGTGACCCCTAAATCAATAGAGGTCATCTACTACTTATGACCAATAACTAGGTGAAATATGAAGACTTTGTGATGAATACTTTTCAAGATAGTCAGCGGAAACCCTTTTGACATTTAAGGCCCCTGTGACTTTGACCTTTGACTTAGTGACCCCAAAATCAATAGGGGTCATCTACTAGTTATGACTAATCACTATGTGAAATATGAAGACTTTGTGATACATTCTTTTCAAGATAATCAGGGGAAACCATTTTGACATTTTAAGGTCCCTGTGACCTAGTGACCCCAAAATCAATAGGGGTCATCTACTAGTGATGACCAATCACTATGTGAAATATGAAGACTTTGTGATACATACTTTTCAAGATAATCTGGGGAAACCATTTTGACATTTTAAGGTCCCTGTGACCTTGACCTTTGACCTAGTGACCCCAAAATCAATAGGGGTCATCTACTAGTGATGACCAATCATTATGTGAAATGTGAAGACTTTGTGATACATACTTTTCAAGATAATCAGCGAAAACCATTTTGACATTTTAAGGTCCCCGTGACCTTTGACCTAGTGACCCCAAAATCAATAGGGGTTATCTACTAGTGATGACCACTCACTATGTGTAAAATATGAAGACTTTGTGATACATACTTTTCAAGATAATCAGCGGAAACCATTTTGACATTTAAGGCCCCTGTGACTTTGACCTAGTGACCCCAAAATCAATAGGGGTCATCTAGTAGTAATGACCAATCACTGTGTGAAATATGAAGACTTTGTGATACATACTTTTCAAGATAATCAGCGGAAACCCTTTTGACAATTAAGGCCCTGTGACCCTTGACCATTGACCTAGTGACACCAAAATCAATAGGGGTCATCTAGTAGTTATGACCAATCACTGTGTGAACTATGAAGACTTTGTGATACTCACTTTTCAAGATAATCAGCGAAAACCATTTTGACATTTAAGGTCCCTGTGACCTTGACCTTTGTCCTAGTGACCCCTAAATCAATAGGGGTCATCTACTACTTATGACCAATCACTATGTGAAATATGAAGACTTTGTGATACATACTTTTCAAGATAATCAGCGGAAACCCTTTTGACATTTAAGGCCCCTGTGACCTTGACCTTTGACCCCAAAATCAATAGGGGTCATCTACTAGTTATGACCAATCACTGTGTGAAATATGAAGACTTTGTGATAAATACATTTCAAGATAATCAGCGGAAACCATTTTGACATTTAAAGCCCCCTTGACCTTTGACCTAGTGACCCCAAAATCAATAGGGGTCATCTACTAGTTATGACCAATCACTGTGTGAAATATGAAGGTTTTGTGATACATACTTTTCAAGATAATCAGCGGACACCATATTGATATTTAATGTCCCTCTGACCTTGACCTTTGACCTAGTGACCCCAAAATCAATAGGGGTCATCTACTAGTTATGACCAATCATTGTGTGAAATATGAAGACTTTGTGATAAATGCTTTTCAAGATAATCAGCGGAACCATGTGGTCTACCGACGGACCGACATTAGCAAAACAATATACCCCCTCTTCTTCGAAGGGGGGGCATAACAAGGAAGTGCTGTGATCTCTCAATACAATTTGTCTCAAGCTGCAAGAAAATTCTATTTTTTCGAAACATTGGACTTGACGAAAGATAAAGAAATGCGACTGCATTATTGTTAACATAATAACTGATTGTTAGCAACGTATGACACTTCAATACTGTAGTGGCCAGTATGGGTCTTTCATGCCTGCATATGAAAGGTTGGTGGTTCTAATAAGATGCCTTCTTGTGACTTTAAATAATGCACAAAAGCCATGGTCTTCCTCCAGTAGTCTAGTTGGAATGTAATAGTAATTATGATTTTTGTTTAACCTACAAAAACAGCACATTTTCAGTTTTTCTTTATTACTTTATATTCAAATATGCACTTTACATCTTATGATCTTACAAGGAAATGGTGGCATTGACCAGTTTAAGTACTTTTTCATAATTCTTGTTCAAAAGACATAAGAAATCTCAAGTGAAATACCTTTGGTAGTTTCAGCAATTTTTTTTCTAAATTTGCAAAGGCATAATTCCAGTAAATATAGTTTATATCAAGTATTTGTGGATATTCCTTGCATGTTTGTTTCATTTTACGCCTTTTTCCAAAAGTATTTCAGTCATATACGCTGGTAGTTTCCTAACCATTGTTCCTGGAGTTACACCAGTACTAGACTACCTTCCTCCACGCTAAACTACCAAAGCATCTCCCGGGGATCGAACCCACGCCAGAGAGGAAACAAACTAGATTAGAAGTCAACCTTATATTACTATTTTAATCAGTTCACAATGAGCAATAGTAAAGTCCTCTTGGGTAATGAACAGATGTTAAGTTTCAAGTTAAAACTTCAGTACTTGTTATCAAAATTGATCTTACATGGAAAATTTTAACCTGGAATTTCTAAAAGGACAATAATTCAGTCAAATCCATGCGCCAGAATTATGGTACCTTTTTTATCCAAAACGGTGTGAAGATTCAAGCCAGTATCTGCATGCAAATTTCTAAGTTCAAAAAGGGTGATGCAGTCGGGTCCTTGCAAGAGTTGTAGGTCACACAGAGACCTCAAATTAAGACCTTGCAATATCATAGAACATTTAGGGGTTGATGCTAGATGAAGTTTGTGGCACAAAAGTTGAACATAGATATATTCATAATTCAACCTAAATATGGAAACATAACTGTTTCATTAACCATTTTTTTTAAATGATTTATACAATTTCAAAAATTTTGCTGTCGGGGATACTCCACTGAAATATGATCCAAAACTTTCTTCAGAATTTTTATAAAGGTTTCATCATCTTTCAAAACAACAAAACTCTGGAGTTTTCTCTTCGAATCTTAATACAAATATTATAGCACATAATAAAAACAGGTCAAATCTCTGACTCACTTTTTTCAGGGCGCCTTTTCCGTTTCCCGGCTTCCCCGATGCCTTCGCATTTTTGCACTTTTTCCATCAAAGAAGGATAAAAGATAAGTTAGTTATTTTATCTTCATAAATAACAAGGACCGCTTTTTATTTTTAAGTCAATAACTAGTATAGCCAGGTACATTTTTAAAATAACCCAAAATATCTAAGCTCGACCTGCTTTACTAGTATACCCAAGTATCTTCAGTAAAATTTAAAGAAAATGTCAAATTAACATTACAGGTAAAATAACATGAACGTATTACAAACATTTTGAATAAAATTATAAAATGAACAAAATGCAGTTTCTGGTGACAAGTAGATACAAACGTTTTTAACATTCAATGCTTTGGCTTGTGTACAGAAAATTCATATGTATTACAAGCAAGTTCTTGATAATTTTGCCTTAAATGAGCAGAAAATATCCTCACCTCTTGACCTTCACCTCCTTTGTTGGTTTGGCCTTGGCTTCTGGGTTAGCACGGATTGCTGCATGTCCCTTCTTGTACATCTCTTCCAACTGTAATATAAAGCCAACAACTGTCATGTTACTTAGAAAATTCAAAACATTTGTAAATTGGTTTTTAAAGTAACTGTAAACATCTTATAAAGCAAAACAATCTAAGCTTAAATTCTGAAAGTTTATCCAGAAAATCAACACATCTAAGAGAGGACCTTTGTTAGATTTAGCTACTTTAACAAGAAAATGTAATGAATTGAAGAAAGATCAGTATCACAAATAATCAAGTGACTGCAATTTAAAAGTGTTTTCTGTGTGGTTTGTTTTTACTCTGATTTTAAGATATTTTTTGGTCATATCTTGGCAGTCTGTCCACCTAACTGGCTTTCCTTGACAACAAACCAGTAATTACAATTCCCCCCCCCCCCCCCCAATCTGAGGACTGCCCTATTGAACAAAGCAGACAGTCTCCTAAAAGTGAATGTAACATCAAGATAGTCTATTCCTGTTGGCAGATATACTTTTTGGGATGGGTTTTTCATTGCACCAAAAAAATAGGTCATATGTTTGGTGACTTTCCAGTTTTACTGTTAGAGAAAGACCTCAGGGGTCTTTCAGTGTATTACTTCCTGCCTGGACAGGCACCTTAGTAAAACCACTGATGTTCTGAACTAAAGGCCAGTTGGATAGGAATGGGCTTTAAATTAACACATCTTAAGTTTTTGAGATAGACCTCAAAGTTACACAACTCACATTATCAGCGGTAAGACCATTTTTGATGAAGCGTGAAAATTGTTTCTTGTAAGCATCTTCATCATCTTCACTCAATTTCCTCATGTACTCGGCAACATGTTTACCGAAGATGTGGTCACGGTGAACTTCGGCGCTGAATTCTCCACTCTCAGAATCGTAACCAGGGAAACGTTTTGTGCTGGAATAAAACACAAGTAAGGTAAAGCATTTTCATTTCCACACAACAATTTATGCACAATAGACAATCACATAAATTCAGAGAAAAATAATTAATCATAAAATTTATATTGGCTGTTCACCTCAGATAGGGGCGAAATAACTTCATCATAATATATTTTATATTGATGAATACTTTCAATCATCATAGGTAAACTTGTACATTAAGTTCTATGTCAGCTCATGAAAATCATAACTCCCACTGACCCTTTCCCTGGCAGGCATATCAATCACTCTCAATATCGGATTATATAGAGTTCTTAACCCTACCTAGATTAAATTTCCTTTAAGATGTAATATAATAGCGTTTCAGTTTATGTAAAAACTATGAAATGTCATTTGTGATGCTGTACAATCAAATCAAGAGTTATCCAACTCAATCTCCTTCAGAAATTACATGTCCTTAAAGAGACATGGTCAACCAGATTTGTAACGAGTAAATTGGACTTTAATAATAAATCACAACACTTATCTTGGCGGTTCACCTCAGATAGGGGCGAAATAACTTCATCATAATATATTTTATATTGATGAATACTTTCAATCATCATAGGTAAACTTTACATGAAGTTCTCTGTTGGCTCATGTAAATCTTATTACGGGTATCTCACCGCCCCTTTCCCTGGGGACAAGTCAGGCATATCCATCACTCGCACAATACCATCTCTCTGCCAATCAGACAAGTATGTCAGTTATCAGGATATTCAATAGTTTATTTGTCTCACTTATCTTTTGTGGTAAAATTCATCAATTCTTTTCATTGAGGGGTTAATTAAAAGTACTAGAATTTCGGAGGTTACAATTAAACAATAAAATCACCTTAACAGCGTTTGTTCTCTTCATTAAAGTATTAAATTTTTTTTTTATATACTAAACATTCATCTATTGTAGTCAAATACTATAATATCTTAAAAGATATATCCCCGAATACACTACAATAATTCTGTTACATTCTGGCTACAAAGGGGTTAAAAAGACTTTTCTCCCATAATCATTATAACATGTACCATAAATCCTAAAGGTACAAGTATAAGACAAAACACTGTCCATGTTTTTTTATCCAGATTAACAATGCCATCATCCCAGGCCCTCTTTAAAATTTTTATCTCTTTTGCATAAAGCATTTCTAAGATTTTTATAACAATGTTTTACAACTGGCCTCAGATAGGAGCGAAAGACAAAAAATATCATCAGTATTATTTCTGATGAACTATGCTATCATCATTGGCTCTTTAACACACAATGTCAGTCTTCACTAAATGACAAACGTTGATATTCACTAGGTTCAGTTTGTTCCAGGGGCAGCAAAATCAATTGTCCTTATTGCCTAGGTTGCCCCCAGCCTGTACAGACAAGTGAACTTCTTCCAGAGTTTACATTAACGTCAAAACTGAGTATTGCTGGCCCTGTTTTCCCTTTCAGGATATAAATCTTCGACTTCACTTGAAACAAATAGCAAAGTTCAAGTGGAATATTGCAAGATTATCTCTAAAGTTCTAAAACTACAAATTTAATTTCAGTTAGTTTAAATATGTCAAGTGTTTCTGTTTATTATAAACTTCAAAATGTTGTTTGTGATGCTGAACATTAATCACCCTATTCCCTAAAGTCTATGTCAACCAGATTATTAGAAACAAGTAAATTACCCCCGGACGCAATTTTTAATATATCCACATTGATGTGCTCATAAAACCAGTATTTCTTGTATAGTAATAATGTTATGAAATTTTTGCCTCAGCTGAATACAAGTTTGTCATCAACATACTTCAGGTGAACTATGTCAGTACATCATAGGCAACGAATAGTAATGATGTCCCTATTCAAACTATCCTACTAAATTTCAATATTCCATATTTAATCAGCATTTTTTTTCAGTTGTTATGTTTGGAAAAAGAAAACCCTTGCTTAAATAGGGAGAACTAAAACAGCATTTAAGGAATGTTTTAAGAAAAGCTTATCTAAATGATACATGAATAAGTGTAATTCATGTAAATAAGACCTTATTAAGACCCTACGGCAAATGTGCCCATGTCCCCTTCCTTAAAATAACTATCCTTTTAGCTTCCAACCATTAAGTTTAATCCTATCTATTTTCTTAAGGGTTTCATGCTAAGTGATTTATATAAACAATTTACCAGCAAGTGAAATTTGTTTTAAATTTGGTTGTGGCAAAAAAGGAAACCCACAGTTACAGTGCCATAATTAATACATTTTTGTGCATCTGGTAGAAGTATGAATAGCCTCAGATAGGAGCGAAAGACAAAATGTATCATCATCATACAATCTGATGAACTATGCTATCATCACAGGCTATCAACAGTGCCTTTTTCTCGTTTATGGGAATGATGGCAGGGCCCCTTTAAAGAGGCAAATTGCATTATGAAAGGGCTAATTTAGAAACAGTAAAAGCAGTTCAGTTACTGTTGAATTGCGATACAACACCAGTTTGAAGAAATGTTCCCGTCATCTAGTAAATCCAATTATTCTCCAACCCATTTATTTTACAGTCAAATAAAGGCTGTTTCCACCAGCCAAAAATAGGTCAATAGGTACATTTTACACTAAAATGCCCAATGCACGTTCTTCACCAGAACCATGACTTAAAAGCAACTGACTTATGTCAGCTAGTTGATGACATTCAATTGACTGAAAGACAGAAATCTGCCCGTACAGATAGCGTCTGTTATGTACCATGCATGATGGATTGAATCAAAATTGACAGTTTAATAAAATGTATAGCTAAATTCCATTCTCAGTTGTTGGAATCTGATTTCAGGTTCCCCCTTTCTGATTTATCACGTGTATTTTCCCTTTCAGAAAGCCAGATTATTTACAAAATTGAAAAAAATAATTCATTGAAATCTCCAAACAGAATTTTTCTTCCATTTCAAAATCATTTTTTAAAAATATGATTTTTGTGAAAGAAAATTGAGCTGAATTATTGCCTCAGTTGAATATAAATGTGTCATCAAGTAACTTCAGGTGAACTATGTCAATACATCACTGGCAATAATTCTTTAGATAAAATAACATTCAAATTTGACTGATACAGTAAATTCCCCAAGATGTCCAGCCATGCATAATTTCATGTATGTGTGAACACTTAATAGAACCACCAAACTATTGTAACAAGTTCCATAGGCTCCTCTACCCTAAGAACCGGACATCCTTTGCTGAGCTTTCAAACTTTACAAAATTTGTTTGCAAATACCTGTGTGGGATGTCAATGCCACCATCAGCAGCTCCCTTCATGGCTCCAAAAACACGGGCACCAGTTGTGGTCCTCACGAGGCCGACGTCAAGGTAACAACGGAAAGCTCCCGGCTTTCCATCAACATCTTCAACATAGAATTCATCTCCATCTACTTGTTCTTGTCCAGGGTAAATACTGTCCAAGTTAAACTTTTTCAATAACTGTGTATGAAAGAAATTTAAAAACAGGCTGAACTGTCAGTATAATCTAAAACATAACAAGGAACATCGCAATGCGATGCAACCAGGTTTTCAGCAAAATATTTCACAGAAGCTTTGTCATGAAGGGGCATTTGTTTTTAATTGAACTTTTAGGAGGAATTATGGCTTTTTTAATATTCCTCAAACAAAAATGATTGAGAAATTTTATGTTGTCTATTCGCCTTTTTTCCCCAAATGTTTTAGAAAGGTAAACAGTACTTTATTTTTGCTTAATTTTTGCATTTTTGCGTCTCTTGTCATTTTCTTTTGTCAACAATATTGGCGTGTGGTGATTTGTGCGATATCAAGAAAAGTATGTTCACAATTTTAAAAAAATACTTGAATGATGTCTTGGAAGAAACATGGGAATTTAGTGAGCGCCAGGGCACTTGATGACAAAGCTTCTGTGAAAGTTTGGTCAAAATCCATTGAGAAATGTAGGAGAAGTTGCGCACTGTAGAAATTGTTCACTATATATTCTGTATAAGGAAAAAATATACAAAGGCCCATAATTCGGTCAAATATTATCCAATCACAAAACCCCGACAATATGTGCCAGGCACTTGAAAACAAAGCTTCTAAGAAAGTTTGGTCAAAATCCGTTGAGAAATGTAGGAGGAGTTGAGCACAGAAGAAATTGTTCTCAATATATTCTGTATAAGGAAAAAATATACAAAGGGCCATAATTCGGTCAAATATTATCCAATCACAAAACCCCGACAATATGTGCCAGGCACTTGATAACAAAGCTTCTAAGAAAGTTTGGTCAAAATCCGTTGAGAAATGTAGGAGGAGTTGCGCACAGAAGAAATTGTTCACTATATATTCTATATAAGGAAAAAAAACAAAGGGCCATAATTAGGTCAAATATATACCAATTGCAAAACCCTGGCAATATGCGTCAGGGAACTTGATGACAAAGCTTCTGAGAAAGTTTGGTCAAAATCCGTTGAGAAATGTAGGAGGAGTTGCGCACAGAAGAAATTGTTCACTATATATTTTATATAAGGAAAAAAACAAAGGGCCATAATTAGGTCAAATATTATCTAATAGCAAAACCCCGACAATATGCGCCAGGGCACTTGATGACAAAGCTTCTGTGAAAGTTTGGTCAAAATCCGTTGAGAAATGTAGGAGGAGTTGCGCACAGAAGAAATTGTTTACGCCCGCCCGCCGACATACCTCAATCTAATAACCAGTTTTTTCCTTCGGAAAACCTGGTTAATAATTCTACATTATCTTTCCAAGTTTCCTTCAAGCATTTCAAACCAGAAATAAAGTTAATATTGCATATTTTATGAAATGTAACTAGGAAAAGTGTAAATATTTAATTTAAACAACATAAAAACCCATGCCCAAATTATATCTACAATTTTGAAGCTGCACGCCTCCAGATGAGCCAAAATATTTCAAGAAAATGAAAATTGAGAAAAATGTACTAATATTTCAAGAAAGGTAAACACAATCAAGATCAATGTTAAAGTTTACATGTTATTTGAAATTTAAGACTGATTTTGCAGTATTTTATCACCATATTTTTGCACATTTTGACCTCTTTTTGGTTATTTGCATGGATTGTAAGTGCCAATTGCAATATGAAAATAACTTTATCTGTTCACCTCACAATATTTTACTGTCAAATACATTATCAAAATTTTCATGAAATTTAACACGAGTCTGGAGGCGTGCTGCTTTAAAGATATCTTATTTTAAATGTACAGATTAACGATTTTTATATAACACAACACAAATTTGGAAATCTGTACACAAAACATTTTGACAACAGTGAACTCCTGATGTAACTGAACCAATCACTACAGATCTCTATTAACTGAAGAACAAGATTGCATTTGAGAAAAATGCTATGCCACCGCATTAATACAACACTAAATAGTAGTGTAGGAACAGATTTTTTTGTTTCTATACAATTTTGAAGATTGTCATAATGCATAGATCCCTGACCTATCTTATTCTTACTATCAGATTAGTGGTTAAATCTGTTGTTAACTCAATAAAAGATCAGAGTATGATCAATGCACTCGAGTCTAGTGAATTTGGTGGTGAAGGTCATATTTCACACAGCCTAAATTTCATGACTTCATCAAAGGACAACACAGTAAGACACTTTGTCAAAATCTAGGTCAGATGAAATCAAAGTTCACTTTACATCTTAATCTGTGCACATGGTTCAAATTTCATAGCTGTACACCAAAGGACAAGAAAGTAGGTCACATCATCAAAATCTAGGTCACCTGATATCAAAGTTCAATTTTACAACAAAAACTGTACACATGGTCAAAATTTCATTGCTGCACATCAAAAGACAAGAAAGTAGGTCAGTGTCCCCTTGGGCAAGGCAAAATTTTGGACCCAAGAGTTTAATTCAAAACAATCTTGATACAGGTCCACGAAACAACATTTCAAGTCAAATATCTAAGCTGTAGCTTTCTCCCATTCAGAAAACATGTGTTTTATTTTCTGTTTTTACTATGTGTACATAATGAGAATCACTGCCCCCGGGCAGGGCCAATTTTGACACCTGTAGAGGACCTATAGATGATATTATATAGCAAACATCAAAGCATCAATGTAAAAATCAATAACCCCTGGGGGTGGGGCCAATTTTGACCCCAGGGCTATAATTTGTACAATCTTGCTAGAGGTTCACTACATAATGTTTCATGCAAAATATCTTAACTCTAGTCTTTGTAAATTTATAGAAGATGACTTTTAAGTTTTTATTATATACATATAACAAAAACCTATAGCCCTCGGGGCGGGACTAATTTTGACACTAAAGGCAAAATATGAACAACTTTGGTAGAGTACCTATAGATGATATCATTTAACAAATATTAAAGCTCTAAGCCTTGTACCTTCAGACAATAAGTTTTTACTATAAGTTTTAACTATATACATATAAGGAAAACCAATGACCCCCGGGGCGGGGCCGATTTTGACCCCAGGGCTATAATTTGAACAATCTGGATAGAGGTCTATCAGACAATGCCTTATCCAAAATATCTAAGCTCTAGGCCTTTTGTGTCTTTACAAGAAGGCATTTTAAGTTTTTACTATATGTACATATAGTGAAAATCAATGACCCCAAGGGCGGGGCTGATTTTGACCCCAGGACTATAATTTGAACAATCTTGGTAAGGGTCTTCCAGACAATGCCTTATGCAAAATATCTAAGTTGTAGGCCTTTTGGGTCTTTACAAGAAGGTATTTTAAGTTTTATCTATATGTACATATAGTGAAAATCAATGACCCCTGGGGCGGGGCCGATTTTGACCCCAGGGCTTTAATTTGAACAATCTTGGTAGAGGTCTAACAGACAATGACTTATGCAAAATATCTAAGCTCTAGGCCTTTTGGGTCTTTACAAGAAGATTTTTTAAATTTATTCTTATAATTCCTTTTGGTTGCCATGGCAACCAGATTTCTGCATGGAATGAAATTCTTTGAACAACTTTGGAAGCTCTTCACCCAAGGATCAATCCTGCCAAGTTGGGTTGAAATTGGACTAGTGGATTTTTACAAGAAGATTTTTTAAGTTCACTATATAATCTATATAACACACACACACACAAACAAACACACACACAGGTGAATCGCTATATGCCACCGCATCGCAGATGCTGCGGTGGCATAAAAAGATAGCATATGCTTGATGATAATACCAATACAAACCCTTCTAGCAATAAGAAGTCCTGTGCAGTATGCGGCAGAGTAGTTTGTTAGCCCGACCTTGATACCATAACGAGGAAGTTCATGTGCATATGCAGCACATATGATTATGTCTCCCTCGATTCTGGCATACGCTATCTGAAATTTAAACATCTTACATTTAAAGTCTGTAATCAAATTAACTTTTTATAAAATTAGGCACATTATAATGATCAACTCACACTTCAAGTATCAAGTCGGACAAAAGCAAAATAAAGTTAAGACTGTCCGCTCATCAAGGTTAAAGAAAAGTTGCGAACTTGGGTTATGCCAGTTGAAGAGATCAGTTGACTTGTATAGATAAAATCTGTCATTTCCTTCTTAAAAATTTCAAAAAAAGGACCCTAATTACCATTTGAGACTAGGGCCAGGGGTACTAAAGTAGAGGAATTTTATGACTATGATTTTGAAGAAAAATAACTTTTATCTTTATACAACAATACTCGTACTTTAAGTTATAATTTTAGCTTATATAGTGATAATACCTGACAGATAATGTCCTTGTTAGTGAAGCGGACAATCAGTCTGTATTTTGGGGTGTTGTATTTATTCTTCTCTTGAACAACAAGTCGTTTACGAGCATAGTAATCTGTTCTGCCCTCTGTCAAATAAATAAATGAAAATTCTTCTCTATTAAAACGTTCATTAAGGATTATAAAAAATCAGCTTATCAACACAAATTGTGTATGGCTAGCAGACAATAAAATGCACTTTTAACTGTCAGAACACTAAATACTGAAAAAAAAAAAACTTAATAAAATTTATTACTCTTGTACGCATTTTATATTAATAGTCACACACTCCCAATATTGGCCTTAACACAATTATGTCATACATTAAATAGCAATCAAGTAACAAACATAATAAAGTACTAAAAGTAAACAATTCACAAAACCACTTGAAATATGTCTTTCATACCTTGCGAGTTTGTTATCTGATTGTAATAGAAATAGATATTTCCAAACACGTTTAATCAATTACAAAATATGACCTGCATCTCAGACAAGAAATTATTGTGAATTTTAATTCTGTCTCGCATCAGAGGGTCCCATCTTTTATTCACCATCTAAAAACTTGGGACATTAAATTTTTTAATAAGTCTCTCACTTAAAAGCCAAATATTTTTACAACTACAAATCCGGTCAGGTGCTACCTCCACATTTCTGTCATTTTTAACAACAACATTTTTAAACAGACAAAACTTTGTATACGTCTGCAGAAAGTCACAGTATTTTATTTTAACAGTATTTTATTTTAATTAGACCTTGTCAAATCAGGAATGGCAAATGTCCTGGAAAACTATTATAAACTGTTCATACCTCTCCTCCTTCGGAATTTGACTTGAAACCTCTTGAAGTAGGCTTTATTTTTAACAACTTTCACAAACCCCTGGAAATAAACAAAAAATAAACAAGATATGTTTGTAAAACATGTATGCCCCCTATCAGCAGCCAATTATTCATGTGATAAGGTAATTATGCATGACTTCTGACCCAGTGATCAAACAATTAATAAGGGTTATCAAGTATCTACTGGTCATGACCTTGACCTTTGACCCCTTGACCCAAAACTCAATAGGGGTCACCTGCTGGTCAAGACCAATCATCATACAAAGTTTGAAGTTCCTAGGCCTAAGTGTTTTTAGTTAATTGATCAGAAACCGTTTTTACTTACAAGGTCCCCAAAATCAATAGGGGTCATTTGCTGGTCATGACTAATCACCATGCCAAGTTTGAAGTTCCTAGGCCTAAGGGTTCTTTTATTATTGATCCGAAACCGTTTTAACATACAAAGTCAATGTGACCTTGACCTTTGACCCCAAAATCAATAGGGGTCATCTGCTGGTCATGACCAATCACTATGCCAAGTTTGAAGTTCCTAGGCCGAAGCGTTCTTTAGTTATTGATCAGAAACCGTTTTTACTTACAAGGTCAATGTGACCTTGACCTTTGACCCCTTGATCCCAAAATCGAAAGGTGTAATCTGCTGGTCATGAAAAATCACCATACCAAGTTTGAAGTTCCTAGGCCTAAGCGTTTTTAAGTTATTGATCAGAAACCGTTTTTACTTACAAGGTCGATGTGACCTTGACCTTTGACCCCTTGACCAAAAACTCAATAGGGGTCATCTGCTGGTCACCACCAATCATCATACAAAGTTTGAAGTTCCTAGGCCTAAGCGTTTTTAGTTAATTGATCGGAAACCGTTTTTACCTACAAGGTCAATGTGACCTTGCCCTTTGACCCCTTAATCCCAAAATCAGTAGGGGTCATCTGCTGGTCATGACCAATCACCATACCAAGTTTGAAGTTCCTAGGCCTAAGGGTTCTTTAGTTATTGATCGGAAACTGCTTTTACCTAAGAGGTCAATGTGACCTTGACCTTTGACCCCTTGACCCCAAAATCAATAGGGGTCATCTACTGATCATGACCAATCACCATACCAAGTTTGAAGTTCCTAGGCCTAAGGGTTCTTTAGTTATTGATCGGAAACTGTTTTTACCTAAGAGGTCAATGTGACCTTGACCTTTGACCCCTTGACCCCAAAATCAATAGGGGTCATCTACTGATCATGACCAATCACCATATCAAGTTTGAAGTCCCTAGGCCTAAGGGTTCTTTCGTTATTGATCGGAAACTGTTTTTACCTACAAGGTCAATGTGACCTTGACCTTTGACCCCGTAACCCCAAAATCAATAGGGGTCATCTACTGATCATGACCAATCACCATATCAAGTAGGCCTAAGGGTTCTTTTGTTATTGATCGGAAACTGTTTTTACCCAAGAGGTCAATGTGACCTTGACCTTTGACCCCTTGACCCCAAAATCAATAGGGGTCATCTACTGATCATGACGAATCACCATACCAAGTTTGAAGTTCCTAGGCCTTGAGGTTCTTTACTTATTGATCCTAAACCGTTTTTGCTAACAAGGTCTATGTGACCTTGACCTTTGACCCCTTGACCCCAAAATCGATAGGGGTCATCTACTTGTCATGACCAATCACCATACCAAGTTTGAAGTTCCTAGGCCTAAGGGTTCTTTAGTTATTGATTGGAAACCGTTTTTGCTTCCAAGGTCAATGTGACCTTGACCTTTGACCCCTTGACCCCAAAATCAATAGAGGTCATCTACTGATCATGACAAATCACCATACCAAGTTTGAAGTTTTTAGGCCTTAAGGTTCTTTAGTTATTGATCTGAAACCGTTTTTGCTTACAAGGTCAATGTGACCTTGACCTTTGACCCCTTGACCCCAAAATCAATAGGGGTCATCTACTTGTCATGACCAATCACCATACCAAGTTTGAAGTTCCTAGGCCTTAAGGTTCTTTACTTATTGATCGGAAACCGTTTTTGCTTCCAAGGTCAACGTGACCTTCACCTTTGACCCCTTGACCCCAAAATCAATAGGGGTCATCTACTGATCATGACAAATCACCATACCAAGTTTGAAGTTCCTAGGCCTTAAGGTTCTTTAGTTATTGATCGGAAACCGTTTTTGCTTACAAGGTCAATGTGACCTTGACCTTTGACCCCTTGAAACCAAAATCAATAGGGGTCATCTACTTGTCATGACCAATCACCATACCAAGTTTGAAGTTCCTAGGCCTAAGGGTTCTTTAGTTATCACTCGGAAACCATTTGCTCTACGGACCGACAAGTGCAAAGCAATATACCCCCTTTTCTTCGAAATGGGGGCATAATAAATGCAATATAACAATTATTAAGCATCATACATTCCATATTGATGCATTGACTGGCATTTGGCAATCTCCTGGATCAGACCCCTATGTATATTTCAGAAGTAAAACTTGTATATAATACACTACTGGTCAGGGACCATCAACCGGACATTTTTTGAACATTTTAACATGCTGATTTCATAATTTTAAAGCTACAAATCTGAAAATTTGACAAAGTATAGCTAGGTTCTTCTCCTGACTAACAAACTAGTTTGTTTATTTCTGATTTTATTGACACTTGCATCTGAGGCCCATGAATGAGGGTATCAAAATAGCTAGTATAAGAGGTCAGGTATTGCACTTTAGACCTCCAAATTTTCAATGTCAACATTCTTGAAAAAGACATTAAAAATATTTACGTTCAAAAAAATTGATGTAAATTAAATTACAAAATTATAGAACAAACATGCAATTATTGTTGATAAAAAAGCGACCGATAGTCATAGATTGACAACCACTGAACAAATTAGTCCTAATTATAAGACCTATATGTAACCTATTTCATATTTATCATTCATTAATCTGATATTTTACATTTTTCATTTTCCATGTTACGTTAGGTCTTAACAGATCTTTGCAAAATCGTGTAGCAAAAAAAATGACATTAGACATCGATTTAGATCTAATGAATTTAAACAATTAAAACAGCGTGTATTTACATTAATTTTGACTTATTCATGAACAAAACTAAAAAATGAATACCTTTTAACAAAATAATTGAACTGTCACGTCCGAAAAGTCATGATTAAATCCTCTCATTTAATTTAATTCCTTGTACAGCCGATATACAAATGGCCGCCATACAGTGCGCGAAATCTGATTGGCTAATTCAAATGCAAGCGTTTAAATGAGTCAGAACAATCTAACGGAATATTTTTTCAACGAAATAATTGCCCATGCACCGCCAGTGTGTTCGAATATATTTTTCCGTTCAAAAAATTGGAATCAATCTGTAAAACGCTTTACTTAACCAGTATGGCCGATGAGCGAAATAGACTGCTATTTACATTTTATTTTTAATTGATAAGTGCATTGTTTGAAAGTTTTTGTTAATGATAGACCATGCAATTGAAAGAACAGAAGATAAGCTTTTGAATTAAGCTTGAAAGGCAAGTGAACAGACCTTTTTTCATTTTTTCAAAATGCTACGCGTTTATGAGCAATAACTATTAGACGTCAGGCTTGACCAACATAAAACTATAACAAGCCTGCAACGTCTAATCTATTGGACTATGAACAAATATAAAAACTGAATTTTTGGGGCCGTCAGTTTGGTGGTTGTCCGGTTTTGGTGGTCTCCAACCAGTATAGAAAACAGAATGAACCTTATATATACTCCTGGTTTAGACCCTGGGGTCTATTCCAGGATATAGCCACTTAAATCTACAATAAGGCGCGTCTGTTGCCGAGTGGTTAAGGTTGTTGACTTCAAACCACTTGCCCCTCACACCGTTGGTTTGAATCCCTACAGGGACTTGGATTCTTTCATGTGAGGAAGCTATCCAACTAGCTTATGGAACGTCGGTGGTTCTCGTTTGTGCCTGAAATAATGCACAAAAGGGCACCTGAGGTCTTCTTCACCGGCACCTGACGTCTTCCTTCACCAGTAAAGCTGCAACATCACGTAGTCCAATAGATTAGACGTTGCAGGCTTGTTATAGTTTTATGTTGGTCAAGCCTGACGTCTAATAGTTATTGCTCATAAACGCGTAGCATTTTGAAAAAATGAAAAAAGGTCTGTTCACTTGCCTTTCAAGCTTAATTCAAAAGCTTATCTTCTGTTCTTTCAATTGCATGGTCTATCATTAACAAAAACTTTCAAACAATGCACTTATCAATTAAAAATAAAATGTAAATAGCAGTCTATTTCGCTCATCGGCCATACTGGTTAAGTAAAGCGTTTTACAGATTGATTCCAATTTTTTGAACGGAAAAATATATTCGAACACACTGGCAGTGCATGGGCAATTATTTCGTTGAAAAAATATTCCGTTATATTGTTCTGACTCATTTAAACGCTTGCATATGAATTAGCCAATCAGATTTCGCGCACTGTATGGCGGCCATTTGTATATCGGCTGTACAAGGAATTAAATTAAATGAGAGGATTTAATCATGACTTTTCGGACGTGACAGTTCAATTATTTTGTTAAAAGGTATTCATTTTTTAGTTTTGTTTATGAATAAGTCAAAATTAATGTAAATACACGCTGTTTTAATTGTTTAAATTCATTAGATCTAAATCGATGTCTAATGTCATTTTTTTTGCTACACGATTTTGCAAAGATCTGTTAAGACCTAACGTAACATGGAAAATGAAAAATGTAAAATATCAGATTAATGAATGATAAATATGAAATAGGTTACGTATAGGTCTTATAATTAGGACTACAACATCACGATGACCTATACTGTGTTGATGCGACGTAAAACCCAATCAAACAAATGCCATGGGTTTCGGAACTCTCAGTGCCTGAAAGGGAGGATGGACCAAAGGGGGTAGTAACGGTGCAAGGACTCTACAATATATCAGGGTCAGTTGTTACCAAATCTAGGTCCAGACCCCAAAAATATGGATTTCCAACTCCACAAAAAAAAACCCGCAATATTCGCCCTTTGTTCAATGAGAAACGAATATCTTTTCCTTTTTTTCAAGCAAGTTCTATACTTTTTATATATACATGTAGCACATGCTGTGCAGTTCTTCTCACACAACTCTGCCTATTAACAAGAATGTGCTACGCCAAATATATTCAACTAGCAAGGCCATGTCGCATTTTAAAGGTGAATTATTTCTTCAAAGAACAATGAAACTAAAGAAATAGTACCTTTACACGTTAAGACAAATGTTGCAGATAAATAATTTTATAATTTAATTCAAAATCAATCTAACCATTGTGAGATATATGGTGATTTCCCTTAGCTCGCAGGTAGCTTCGGCTAGGGGCTAACGTTTTACCGGAAAAGGAAGTACAATGTCTCATAATCGGTTTACATCTGTTTTATGAAATGAACCTAAAGTAAAAATAATTATAAAAAGCTACATATACGCTTTACTTCATATTCACTATCTCTGTTATTGTTTTTGTTAATATTAGATGTAAATTTATAAAACCTTATTATAAGATGTAAATTTATTGAAATTTGAAGATCTTATAAATAGTAAAAACAAATCACATTAAAAAAACTTGCTTTGCTTTGTAAAGAAATAATTACAGCATGAAATAATTAGTATTTATTAATTATATCACTGGTCTCCTACTCATTCGCCTGTTTATATTTATATGTTTCTGTACGTGTTTTTTATGTCACATGTTCTTATGAACCATGACAGTATTGAATGAAATTTTGAAAATCTTGAAATCTGCTAGTGTGGAGTAAAAGGCCACTGGGAACCGTCTTACCTTTTGTTTTAGATCAACGGACAACTTTATTTTGATACTTCATCTTATGCCTAGATATATTTGTAAAGAACGGTTTCAACATTACCGTGATGGACTTTCTTTAGGGATTCTGTTTATTTTCTTTCTATATTCTATTCTATTTGAATGCATGACTAAAATAGCTTTCTCGAGAAATTCGAATCACAATGAAAGCGAAACATTTACGGTGGCAATCAGATCTATATGTAAGAAATAAGCAGATCTGAACTAAAGTCAGCAGATTGATTACTTTTCTTGACTGATGCTGTATATATATATAAAGCGATGAATAAATTTACACCAGCATATATCGCTGATTTTATTCCGCTATTTCAGAATAAAACGTACTCACTAATTAAGATCTACACAGAAAAAGACATCATAAACGACATAAAACAAATTATTTTCAAACATATTTTTACTATTGTAGTATGGAGTTATGGAACATTATTCCTTTAGAAATAAAAAATTCTAGAAGTCTGCAAATTTCAAACATTTATTATGATGAAAAGGTGAATTGAAGACAATAAGCTTTTGCTACATATGCCTTCTTTTGCTACATATACTTATAAATGCCTTCTTATTTGTCGGATAATAATTACTTGTAACATTTCTTTCTTTTTATGTTTATTGAATGCCTTGTTGTTAATAAGATTTTGCATTATATAAATGTGTTATCGTTGATGTAGAGTCTTAATAATCTACCTTTGTTAAATAAGGAGTTTATTATTACCAGCAACACCGCCGCCGTCGCCGCTGATGCTGCCACTACTAGTACCAGTGCTACAATTAAAATGGACTGTAGATCAGGTAAGATATATAGGTTTATATTTTGCGACTGTTATCTTATGTATCATTAAATGTCATTCAAATAGGAAATGATAGGAACTGTTGTACAAAAATCTGGAAAAGGGACACGCGGGCTTTTATAAACCTGTGTTATTTCTATATCGCAATATTTTATAAATTATGAAATGCTAGATTACAAAATAGTTTGAATTATGATATATAGAGGATATTGAACGAGTGTAAGTTAATACTGAATTTATTGCACGAGTTGAATAAAATTATATTATGCGAGCCTCTGGCGAGCATAATATTTTTTATTCAACAAGTGCAATAAATTCAGTAATGAACTTACACGAATTTAATATTCTATTTATCATATAGTATAATACCCAAAATAAAGACCATTTAAAGTGAAAGAAGAGTCATTTTTCATTGACGCGCCTATAGTATAGCACTAACATTTAGTGCGTCTTTACATTACGTTTATATAACGCTAATGACGTCACATCAAAATATATGCACGACCGTGCAATACCATATTTACGGAGTCGCAAAATCGGCACGGGTGTGTGATAAAAACCTTTAAGACATTTGATTAATTTTACTTTTGTCGTCGACTTTATGGTTTTTTTATCGAAGACGCTCGCATAATATTATTTTTTTGAACGAGTTCAATAAATTCAATATTGAACTTACACGAATATAATAATGTATTTATCAAATATCCAAAATTGAGAGTGTCTAAAGTGAAAAAGAATCATTTTTTTAATTACGCACTAACATTTAGCGCATCTTTTACAACGCAAATGACGTCACGTCAAAATATAAATTATATGCACAGCCATGCAATTCCGTTTCACGCATTCTCAATACCAATTACAAATATAGAATCACGGAAAGTCAAAAAATGATAATCAGAGATCATTAAAATGATGTTTGAATATGGAAAAAGAATATCTCCAGGACATAAATTTGAATTCTTGCATACAAGATACCAACCATATTTTCTCAGTTCCATATCAAATTGTGCTGGTCATTGTTACAAAAACAGGGAGAGAAATGTACGTAATTTTGAGTGTCCCTTGAATTAGAAGCTCATAATCGGAAACTGTTGAATTTGTCAGTAATTTTGTTTTCACTGTACTCTTCTCAAAAGATGTAGGGCGGAAATAAACACATTTGTTTGTTAAATTATACCAATATATTCAGGTGTTTGGATTGTTAAAACAATACCAAATTTTACAGATGAAAGACACATACTTTACTATTTAAATGTATACTTCGAAGTTCTTTACAGATTTATCACTGAAAAGCATTTCGACATTAGAATCTTATATATTGGTTATTTACGACACATATAATAAAGTTCTTAGGATAAACAAATTCATGCATGTAGTAGTTTTTTTTTTTTTTAACCCAAAATGCCTTAAAAGTAATTTAATCATTTTGTAACGTACATTTCATTTTAATACAAAAAATGTCAACAATGAATTCATTAAGAAAATCTGACTGGAATGGGACAACTTAAACATTTCTGTCTGGTATTTATTACTTTTCTAAACATTTATCAATTAATTACAAAATCGTTAACGCTTTGTCAGAGTAAGATGTTGTATATGCACACTGAAATAAGATGTATTTTGATTAATGATTCTGCTCATATAAGGTAAAAAGTACATGTAAACAGCATTATATGCGTATTTAATCCTTTATGACAACAAACGTGTATGTTAAAATGCTTTAAGATATCAATCTTTAGCATTTTGAAGACTTTCTTAAAGACTTTAATAGTAAATTTATACTGTTGTAAACTCTCATTAATTGGTAGAGTACATTTCAGTTTTCTGGCATGTGTGTTGTACATAAAAAAGACACCAAGTAATATTTAACATTGTAAACAAAATGTTTCCTTTTTTAAATTCTTATAACTTCAAACATTTTGACACATATAATGATTTTAAAAAGTCAAATGATCATCCTTTTGTGATTTTTTGTCTGTTGTTATAAGAAATATATTACACGCAGATTTTAGAACTTTGGTTTCATTATTTTTTCAGATAGAGTAACCAGTCAATTGTCATTTTGCAAGCTCTCCACCAATGGAGACGAAACGCGGTTTGAATCTACTTTCAGTTTGAGAAAAACATAAACAAAACGATATTTTCGATGGGCGAATAGCAGTTTCATACGTTATTGCGTGCTTTATTTCCTATCAGACATGATAAATCATTAGATTTCTTTGGTCTGTTTGCTTAAATGAAGGACTCTTTTAAGATCGTTTCCTAAATTTACTTGGACAGACTGAAATTTAAATTGGCCTTCTATTTTTAAAAATGAGCAGGTCCGGGCACGATCTGTCATTTACCAAAAGCATAAACAGTTCTTCACATGGTGCAAATACATCAGTGAGGATAGAAGTTACTCACGGAGGTTCAGAGAGAAGAAATGTTTCAAATAGAATGAATACATCAGAAACTGTTCCTCCACATTTGCTTATGCAGAATGTTAGAGACATAAGAAAAAGACTGATGGAAACTGAAAAGACGTTAAACAAAATATCCAAGGCAGAGGCTAAACTTGAAACAGAGTAAGAAAGAATGAAACATATGTAAATCAAGAGTCAATACAATTTTTCGATATACATGTACAGCAAATAGAGATTTATATTTAAATATTTGCTTTAAAATGTTGCATTCATTGCTTTGTAATACTTAGGCTTTGCATTGAATATAGCCCAATTTATTTGGCGTGAACTATTTTACAGACAGTGATCGGTTGTTTTTTCATACTGTCAAACAGTTATGGTTGGAAAAAGACATGGCCTCGCCCTGCCCTAAATAATCTTAATGTCTCTTTTACTTAGTCTTAATGGATTCTTGCTCTTTATTTGAAACAGTCATGTGCCAAATCAACATAGATTTTTGTAGTCATGTCATGGTGACAGCAAAAAAGATAACTGTTTTAAACATTGATCTAAAAAACGTGTTTAACCAACCATACTTACCAAAGTTCTTAGATTTTCAACATTAACTTTGTTTGTTTATAACCATATTTGACATTTTATAGTACTCAAATTGATAACAATACATATTATCCAATTATCATTATAATAATTGAATTATGGATAAAAAATTTTCAGTAGCAATCAAGTTACATGTTATAAGAAAAAATACATTGTTGAGTACATTAAATACAAGAAAAATAATATGTATAAGATGACAGATGTACAAGATATATAAGAAAATAGGCCTACAAACATGACATTGTACTTACCAGTGTTTTTTTTCTTTATATAACTACTACCCTAAAACGGTACCATTCCCAATAGAAAATAGACATTAAAATTCCCAATTTCCAATGTTAAATTCCCAAAATGACTGTTCAAAATGCCCACAAGGCAAAGTGATTTTTCTAAAATCATTTAAATCCAACATATTCATATAAATCACCACTCAATAGTTCTATCTAGACAGTAGAAGCTGTTAGCTATCTTTATTCATGATGTCTAATCTCATTTGTAGCTGAAAAAATGCATTAAAAAAATTCCCAATTTTAGTCAAAATAACGCATTTTTTCCCATTAGTCTGGTACCGGCACCATTCCCAAAGTAGAGAAAAAAAACGCTGCTTACATCAATATGACATATTTAAATACATTTGGATTAAAAGTCTTAATTATGTGACCTTTTTATGATGGTCTCCTGTAAAGGCACAATGTGACAAGTTTGTCTGTAACATTACAAAATAAAAAACTTTAATACTTTTCCATAAATTAATTTTATTCTAAGATGTGCTACAAGTATTTCTTTTCATAAACTTGAAACAATTAAAAGCCTTTTGTCATGATCAAGTCACTGCCTTATTTTTCATTTTCAGCGACATAGATGATCTTATATCAGTAACATCAGTGGATTCAAGGAGAAGGGGTCAGACATCTGGTGCAGAATTTCATGATAATCCAGAAGATGACAGAGAAAGCATTCAGTCAGGGTTGGCAACTCTACCAGACTCCTCATATGCGGGTTTTGAGAGAGTTCAGCCCCCTAGTAGCACACCTAATAGACCAGCAGTAAGAATTATAAACCAGTTTTCCTGAAAAATAGTACTATGATTCAAATCAAAACTGGATAAGAAAATTAAAGTTTGTCCACAACCCAAAACTGTCTAAAAGGATTTACTCATGGTTATATAATTTTCCACATTTTTTACATACATGTATATAACACCATCAGTTGGAAAAAAAATTCTGTATCTTTAAGAAATGAAGGCATGTTAGGCATATTGTCTGTGGTGTTAATGTCACAATAACTGATATAATGTATATTATGAACTGTAATGTATAGTGAGGAATATATGCATTCATAATTGATTTGACTTGTTTGAATATATATTCCTTTTTTTTTCTTTGTAATGTAATTTTCTCATCTTTAAAGCCATACCATGTTTCCAAAATGACTGATCGGAAGTCAGCATATGAATATAAAGATACAGGTGATTTTGATTAAATTATTTGCAGACTAAGAGTCGTTTAACTGGTTTACTAGAGATGATCGAGTCAAGAGAAGAGTCGGACTCGTCACCTCGGTCAGAACGTAAACATAGTGACATGGATGATGAAAGGCAAGATCATCGGGCTAAGGTGATCACTTTTTTTTTTCATTTATTCACTAAATAAATGATAAAGAAAAACTTGAATTTTCTGTTTACTATATCCTTTTTCTCTTTTTCAGCTTATAATGTGAAAGAATTCCCTTTTAACTCCAGTAAAAATATGGAAAATTAGTCACAAAAATAACTTCCTTTTTTTTTAGCTCACCTGAGCTTGCTCAGGGTGAGCTATTAGGATAGGTGAATGTCCGTCGTCCGTCGTACGTCCACAATTGCTTGTGAACACACTAGTGGTCACACTTATGACTCAATCATCATCAAACTTTGTCAGGATGCTTGTTTAGTCAATTGCTCGGATGAGTTCGAAACTGGGTCATTTCGGATGAAAATCTAGGTCACAGGAGCTAAAAATAGAAAAACCTTGTGAACACTCTAGTGGTCACATTTTTGAACCAATCATCATCAAACTTGGTCAGAATGCCTGTTTAGATTATTTCTTGTATGAGTTCGAACATGGGTCATCTCTGATGAAAAACTAGGTCACAGGAGCTAAAAATAGAAAAACATTGTGAACACTTTAGTGGTCACATTTTTGACCCAAACATCATCAAACTTTGTCAGGATGCTTGTTTAGATAATTGCACAGATGAGTTCGAATATGGGTCATCTCTGATGAAAAACTAGGTCACAGGAGCTATAAATAGAAAAACCTTGTGAACACTCTAGTGGTCACATTTTTTACCCAATCATCATCAAACTTAGTGTGGATGCTTGTCTAGTCAATTGCTCAGATGAGATTGAATATGGGTCATCTCTGATGAAAAACTAGGTCACAGGAGCTAAAAATAGAAAAACCTTTTGAACACTCTAGTGGTCACATTTTTTACCTAATCATGATCAAACTTTGTTAGGATGCTTGTTTAGATAATTGCTTTGATGAGTTTGCACATGGTTTATCTCCGATGAAAAACTAGGTCACAGGAGCTATAAATAGAAAAAACTTGTGAACACTCTAGTGGTCACATTTTTGACCCAATTATTAAGAAACCTTGTCAGAATGCTTGTTTAGTCAATTGTTTGGATGAGTTCGAAAATGGGTCATCTCGGGTGGAAAACTAGGTCAAAGGAGCTAAAAATAGAAAAACCTTGCGAACAGTCTAGTGGTCACATTTTTGACCCAATCATCATCAAACTTTGTCAGAATGCTTGTCTAGTCGATGCTTGGATAAGTTTGAACATGATTTATCTCAGATGGAAAACTAGGTCTCAGGAGCTAAAAATAGAAAAAACCTTGTGAACACTCTAGTGTCACATTTTTGACTCAATTATCATCAAACTTGGTCAGGATGCTTGTCTAGGTAAATGCTCGAATGTCAAGCTCGAATATGGGTCACCTGGGGTCAAAAACTAGGTCACACTGCTCAAATATGGATAATCCTTGTTAACACTAGTGGTCACATTTTTGACACACCTGTCATGAAACTTGGTCAGGATGCTTGTCTAGGTAATTGTTGGGATGAGTTTGACGGGTCAGGTGAGCGATCTAGGGCCATCTTGGCCCTCTTGTTTTAAACCCCGTCAGGGGCAAGCCCTTCTTTTCTTATGCAAGAAACTACATTCATTGCTCAGTACTGGTTGGTTCCAGGAACGGATTCAAGAGTGTTTCAATAAGCTTTTAGCTTCCAACACAACCAAACTAAAATAAATTTGTATAACTTAATGTGTTTTATCTTTTTTAACTTTTGTTAGTTTTGACCTATTTAGGATTGGATATTTTGGTTTCCTTTTTTTAAAAACAATTTATTTTCAATATTGACAGATTCGGTTTTTGAAAGAGGCCAATAAGAAAGTTCTAATACAAAATCAGAAGTTGATGAATGAGGTAGAGAAAACATCTTTTGAACTTCAGTCTTCAAGGGCAAAGGTAATTAGAAATTTATACTGTTTAGGGCTTTGATATTATAAAGAATGGTTCGTTCTTAAAGAAATTCGTAACATCCTCATGAAATGTAGTGTTGCTAATCAGCTTGGAACAAGTGGGGAAATTATATTGCTATGAAAGTATGAAGTTTCACAGTTCAGTGTCATAGTACTATTTGAACTTCATTACATACATTACTGTATAGAATTTGACAGAATTACTTGTGCTGGCACTGCACTCTAAACCTTGAATTCATTTAAAACAGTACCATCTTTTCAATACTTCCCATAAACCCAAGTAGGTAGCAAAGTTACTGGCTTCTGCATAGTTTTATGACTATTCCTTGTGTCAAACCATGTTAAAATAAAAATTCTTTATAATCAGTCAGAATTGTTTTTTGCTACTAAGTATTGATTTAAAGACTTGGTATAAGTTGTAACTTGTGATTCTTCAGGTGAGAGAATTAAGTTATGAGTTGGACGAGTTCCGGCAATCGGTACCTGACCTTGAGGATAAAATACTTGGGCTACAGGCGGAGACAGAATCTCAGGATAAAGCTCTCAGGTGACCTAGATCCTCATGTGATTATGTCACATGACTGTTAAAGGGGCTCTATTGAGGTCCAAAAAACATAAAATTGGAAAATCTTATGTAGAACAACTGACAACCGAAGCACTTAAAACTGGAAAATATGAAAAAAGATAAAGAAAGAAATATCCTAAGAATTCAATCGAAATTAAATGTGATTTTTAGTCCGATTTGAGTTAGAGGCATTTAAATGCTTTTTCATTTTTTACATCATTTAACATAATAAAAAGGAATTATTCTGGTAAAACATAGTGAAAGAAGGTCGGAAATTTTGCATACAAGTTATTGATTTAGACCTACACTTAACAGTGTGAAAAATCTCGAAAAAAAAGTATTTCCAGTCTAGTCATGTCAAAAAGCCTCAGTTGAGTCCCTTTAAGGATCTTATTAAAATGCTTTTTCATCATTGTAGTAGGAAGAACACTATCAGAATCCATAATTTAAAGTGGATGTTTAATTGATTTTTTATTTGGTTTTGTGGTACTTTAAATCTAATAATGTCTTTACAATTAGTTTATAATTATTGGTATAATTTAGCCATATCATTCTACTGTGTATCATATAAACATCACGTGGAATCGAGGTCAATGTTACCATGCTTATTATGAACTTTCATGTGACTATGTCTTGACCAGTGCTTAGAAGGGGGAATTGATACATGTAGTCATATACCTAGCACTGTTGTATATTGTCTTACAAGTTACATACCATATTTGAAGAGAACATAATTTATACTTGTCCATAAACTCACAGAAAATTATTAAAAGAACTGTCGAATCAAACTTTTCATATAAGATAAATTAACTGAAAATGGTGAAATGGTACGATTTTTAATAGTGTTTTTACAAGTAAGAAGACGTGTAGGTTTGTCAAGACTTTAAGGCGGGTCTTCTGCACAATGACATGGTTCTTTATTAAGTCTTCAACCATTGCCTTATATAGGTAGATTTTCAGTACTGTTTTTTTAAATTAAAGAAAACATGTGGTTTCTAACTCTGAATTCTTTCAATCATTGCATATTGTCACCTTAGTGCAGTAACAGGTAAACTCCTATTAAATTATATAAGTATTTAACCCATTACTGCACTACGGTGATGATATATGTTGCTGATTTTGGGTAAATGTTAAGTTAAAGACTTTGAATTTTTTCATGTTAGGAAATGGAATGAAAGCTATCCAGCTAGCTAGCTAGCTTACAGAGGATTGTTTTTTCAACATAGGTGACAACTTGTGCTTGAAATAATGCACAGAGAGGTACTTGAGGTCTCCTATCATAAGGAAAGCTAGAAGGTCGCCATATGACCTAAACAGTTTCAGTGTTACTTAAACCCCTTCAAGTCATCCCCTGCCACCTTCATGTTTAGCATCGATGAACATGTTTAGTGGTTGAAAAGTTGCAGGTGTTTAAAGTAGTCTTTCTGTAATGCTTTCCTGCCAGAAAATTCTTACATCGGCCAGTATCGTACCAAATTGGTTATTTCCAGAAAGTTATTTTTTCAAAATTTTGGGCATTAAATTATTAACAGTCACCCAGCCTTTATTGCAATGGGCTAAATTTCAGTTATAAACTGTTAAAACATATCGAATATAGAAGATTGTGGGGAAAAAACATTCTGGAAATGACCGATTTATTACGATATTGGCCAATATTTTTTATTAGAGATTTTTTGGCCAGAAAGCATTGCAGTAAGACTATGTTAAGTAAAATATGTTTTATTTGCAGGGAAGCAGAAGAGCGATATGAAACTAGTCAACGTGAGATGTTACAGTCAGAACGCAAGTATAAACAGTCACAACTAGACGCTGACGAGGCTAGAGCAGAGTTGTACGAGGAGAGGAAAATGAGGAGAAGGTTGCTATAGAAACTTTTGTAAATTCTTATAGATTAACCAGACAATAGACTTATTCCATAATTAAGAATTTTTCGGGTTTTTCCCTGGTAATGTGAAGGTACAAGCAAACTTCTACAGTTACAGCTTCCAAAATAAGCGCAACAGGCTGATTAATCTTTTGTGACCAGTATTGCATAGTGAAGCTATAACAGTAAATGTTTGTTTGTACCAGGGGATTAGCTTGAAAAAAACCCACATTTGCCGAGTTCCCGATAGCATATATTATTCTCAAATGATCCTAATTGGAGAGTACTGTTTGTGAACTATAACTCTTACATGGAATTTTAGCCCTTAATGAACTTAAAAAAGTAGTCTCAGGTTAAGTTATGTATGCAACATTGATCTTATTAACAAGTAAGGGTATTAACTTGAAACCTAAGACATGGCTTAGGGGTCACTATTCAAGGACCATAACTCTTGCATGGGATTTCACTGATTCATGGCCACTTGTGAACTTCAAAAATTCTTGGTATTAGAATTTGCATTCATCATTTATTTAAAAAAAACTAGGGATGTTATTCACTTGAAATAAGGTCATGTTTTCAGAATTTTTTTTGAATGTCTCTATGGATGACCCATTAATCTGGCAAGGATTTTGAATAAAATAATGCCCATTGTGACCATACAAAATTCTATTGTAAATATCCAAGACTCATAACGTATAATCTTTTCTGGTCAACAAATTTTTTCTGTTATATGTCCCCAATTCTGCTACAAATGTTTTTCGAAAGGAAGTAAGCAATTACCTACAGGAAAGTATTGGTTTATTATCAAGAAACTCTTGTAATGTAACCACTGTCTTATACTTGCTGTGTTATTTAAATACTTTAAAAAAAATACTTTAAAAAAACCTGCTCTGAACCAAAACTAAAACAAAGATTTTCTTGCAGTTTGGAGACACAAAGAGATGATGCAATGCAGAACTTCATGGAAGCTCAAGATTCTTTAGAGCAATACCAGAAGAAAACTAATGACAGATTGAAAAAGGTAAAATTTAGCGATATGAGTTGAGTGATAAAATTTAGAAATATGAGTTGAGTGATAAAGTTTTCCGGCTTCCTACCTCAACCCCTTATTGTTGTGGGTTTGAATCCTACAGGGGAGTTTGGATTCTTTTTTGTAAGGATGCTGTGCAGTCAGCATATAAAACATAGATGGTTCTACTTCAGGTGCTTGCTTGTGCCTGAAATAATTCACGGAGGGGAACATGAGGTCTTCCTCTAAAGTCACCATATAACCTCTTCAGTGTTGGTGCAACTTAAAAGTAAACAAAACAAACAAGAATGAAATAAAAAATGGCATGATTTTCAGTAAACAAGAGGTATTTGCATATGGTGACCATCTTTCAGTAGTTTATTTCATGCAGTCAATAAAGAAAGTTGTTTAGTTTGTTTAAATAAACAGTGTTCATGATTCTTTCTCCGTATATTTATATCTAATACACATCTCTTGCCAAGCAGTAAATGTCCTTTAATATAACTTAACCTTATTGCTGTAGAGGTGTCAAATTCTAAATCATTTGAAAAATAAACTTTTAAACAGAATGCGAATATTATAATATCTGGAGCATCAGAACGAGGATATTTATATAACCTGTATTTCAGTATGAGGAGAATGAGGATCGCCTACGGGACAGTTTAACACATGCTAACAGAGAACGTGAAGAACTTATAGAAAGGCTTTCATACTTCCAGAACAAAGTTAAATCTCAGCAGGAAGATATCAGGTAATTTAACAGTTACACTTTCTAAACTAGTATAATAATTGACTCTGTTTTGACTTGTAATGGGTGAAAAAAAGGCAAGTCAAGATTGTTTGGATTCTTAATATTGCTTTTACACAGTTAAACTTGTGTAATGAGTTTGTACTGCATTGAATTATAGAACTACTAATGTTGTGTGAACTAGCTGGAAAGCTTATTCCCAAGGAAGTCCCTTAGTTAGTTTTAATAGATATCAAATAAATTTAAATATCAAAATGCATTAACTGCCAAAAGTCTTTATAACAAATTTATGGTATACTTTCTTAGTTTCTTTGATTAGCATAGACAATAATAAATTAAAATTTACAGCAGCCATAATTTTATAGATGTAAAAAATATAAACTTCCTTATTGTCCAATGAAAATTGACATAACAAGCATGTTGTGTTTGTCCAATGAAAATTAGCATAACAAACATAATGTGATTGTGCAATGAAAATTGACATAAGAAACATGATGTGATTGTCCATTGAAAATTGTCATAACAAACATGATTTGATTGTCCAATGAAAATTAGTGTCACAAGCATGATGTGATTTCCAATGAAAATTGTCGTAACAAACATGATGTGATTGTCCAATGAAAATTAGTGTCACAAGCATGATGTGATTTCCAATGAAAATTGTCGTAACAAACATGATGTGATTGTCCAATGAAAATTGTTATGTTATGTGATTGTCCAATGAAAATTGTACAACAAACATGATGTGATTGTCCAATGAAAATTAATGTTACAAACATGATGTACAGTATAAAAAAAATGGTGTAACATTATTTCAGACATCTGCAGTCAGTTCAGGAAGTAGAAGAGGAGACTAAAACTGACATAGAGGAACAGAACAATGATCTTAGAACACAGATATCCAAACTCTCTCAGAAAATTTGTAAGTCCATGTTTATAGACATGTATAAGTAAAACATTTTGTATATGTAAGCTGGTATATGAATACGATGTATTTCGAAAAAATGAGAAATTTAAAGCGGAAACTTTGTTTTTCTGATATCATATCAATACTGTTCATTACATGCAGACATTTTTTGCTCTAATATTCAAAGAATAGGCAGAGCTTTTGTACTGACCCAGGTGTCGGCATCACACTTTGGTTAAGTTTTTGCATTCAAGTTGATATCTTCATTCTCCAAGTATTCTTTGAGGACTTGCTTGTAAAATACCCCTGCTTTAGAAGCAAAAAGCATTTTTAGAGTGACAAATAATGTGTACATGTATAAAGTTTAAAGTGAATTGGTCTATAATTGTAGGTATTAAATATCACACATAACAACAAACCACAAATGATTTATACGTCATGAATGTTGTTGGAAAATGTTAGATATGATCTAATGTTACATATATTTAAATATAGGATATAATAAAAAGTTCTAGAACAAAATATTGTTATTCAATGCAAAAATGTTCATACTTAATCACTAAGAACTTTATCAACACTTTTTCAAGCAATATTTCAAAAGAATATCCATATAATTTATTTCCATAGTTTTTATCAATATTTAAAATACATATGGAAAATGTGCCCATTATAGACCAATTCGAGGACATATTATGCCAAATTGTGAACTTGGTAAATTATCAGAATTTGACCCAGCAGATGACCAGGACAGTACATTGATTCTTGTCTATTGTACTTTAGCACGATTAGAGGGAGATTCCGAGTTACTGGAGAGTTTACAGTTTGAGAACGGTCAGCTACGTAACGAGGTTGACCGCCAGCAACAACAGTTGGCACAGTGCCAGCAGGAGATCGAGGAAAGTCGTACAATGTTGACCCAGTTAGAACAGCTTGCGCAGCAAGTACAACAGAGCTATGGCAGTAGACCACCTAGTGTAGGTGTTTTATTTACTTTATCAGTTTTAATCTATTAGTAAATCTGAGTAAAAAAAATACATGTAGTTTAAATATATTTTATTCCTTTCATTTTTTTTTTCACAAGATGTACAATTCAAATATATTGGAAAATGTATAAAGATACATTTTTTGAAAGAAAAACTGTAGGACCACAAGTTCATATAACATTAGTAATTCAGTCTGTCCCTGAAAAAGTGAGTGCTGTGGTCCTAGTGGTTTAGGAGTCTGCTTCTCAACCCAAGGATTATGGGTTCAAGCCTTACTATGGTCATGACATTGTGCTATTATTTTACTCTGGTACTGGTTAGTTCTGGAAAGCATGCTTGAAAGTGGTTAAATTAAACTACAAGCCTTCATCACAGTCAAACTAAAAAGTAATATGTAATGAATTAAAACTAATTAGCAAATCTGCCTTAAGTTTAACTTGTTTATTGCTGTTTTAATGTGATAACTATTATGATATATAGTTGAACCAATGTTGTATTAGAACTATTTACGTAATTGTTAAATTGAGCAGATGGTTTTTAACAACAAATGTTTTTGCCAATCAGTACGTTGAGCTTAAATCCCACTTGAAACATTGAATTCTTTTATTTAAGGAAGCTGTTTAGTATGTTACCTTACAGAATGTAAGTGGTATTTTCTAGGCACCCTTTGTGCATGGGTATCCCTCTATCTGTAAATGTGAGAAAGTTACCACCTAAAAAAAAACCAACAACAACAAAAAGCAAAACAAATAAAAACCCACATTAAAGCCCAGCAAACAATTTTTAAAAAAAGCAAGAAATAGAATACTTACCAACAAAAAATGACCCTCTTTCACAATTTAGGTTGTCTGTATTTTTCAGCGCAACAATAGTTTTAGTGTAAATGACAGCGGTAACTTCAGTCTTAGACAAGGGGCTGACATGTCATCAGGGGCTTCATTCCAGAAATCTACTACAGGTGCTGAATCTAGCACAGCGTCGGCAAAAAGTATATTATCTGATCTCAGGTAGGAGTGATCAATAATATGTAGTTTGTCTGTTTTCAAAGAAAAAGTCCAGCTTTTATAAGCACTGTGTTGTCATCATCATGCAAAAACTTTCTTGTAGCCTATTACTCAATAAAAGTTTTAAAGGTATCATTATGAACTTTGCAATGCTTGTCTATCATTACAAGAGGAACTTGTAAGATAAGGGGCATTATTCTGACAACAATATGTTTAGGAGTTAATGCCCCTTTTTTAGCCTAGAATATTTATGAAAATAGGTTATTTTAACAAATATTTAAGAAAATTGGTTATTTTTACAGATGAACATTAACACCTCATGCAGTGCTCTTGTTATGGAGAAAGGATTATGTTACTATGTTATATTTATAAGTTATTTAACAATGATCTGTTCAATACGGGATTATATTTAGATGAGTTCACAGCTGGAGAAACCATCCTGGATCCAACTGCAAGACCAGTTTAACATGGCTTTTAGATACTAATAGGTACATGGTAAACACTGCTGTATATTGACCGACCTTCTATAAAAATTCCTGTAAAAATGTTATCTGTTTTACAGATTAAAGTTGGCAATGAAAGATGCCGAAATTCAGCGATTACAAGCCAGTCTACAGGAGAGACAAGCTGATGACCAGTCTAGTCTGATAGAAAATCTACGCACTGATCTACAAAATATGATTGAGAAAAATCAGAGAAGTAAGTTTAATTTATATGTATTTATCATTGAGTCAGACTTAAAAAGTGTTGGAGCACCACACTAAGTACTGTATTCCGGTATATATCAGACAATGTTGTTGAATGATTAAATGCTAAAATCACTGCTTTTTACCTGCAGAAATAAGCTTTAAGATGTCTAATTCATCTGTTCACACCAATTTATATACAATAATGAATGAAAAAAGTAAAAAAAAAAACAGTAGAAAAATGCGATCTTTTTCTATTTTGTGATCATATTTTCTGCAAGCATATTGAGGTACTGCTCCAACAATGTAGTGAGTTAAATCCTTTATCATTTGAAATTAATAATGAAACAAGTTTTGCTAATTGTATAAAACACTCTCCAATCGGCTTCCCGGAACATACCAGTACTGGTCTTATGAGCAATTATCATTTTGACCCGAGTAGGGCTTGAACCCATGATCCCTTTGTTGAGAGGCAGATATCTTAACCACTAGGCAACTGCTGACCTTAGAGAAAAAATGCATGTTGTGTCACATATGATAAAAACCAGTCGATTGTTTTATGTATTGTATAACTTTATAACACTTTAAAAATTGATATTTTTGCTCCTTTGTTAACCGCCTTAAGTTTAATGCCATTGCATCAGTGTCATACAAAATCAAAAATGGTTCATTTGGTCCAGTAATGTTTGCATAAGACTGACATTTGATGGAAAAGTTTAAAAGAAAGACGTGAATTTTTTAAGGTCAAAAAGTGGTGAAAAAACATTCAGGCAGCTTACCAAGAACGTGCTACCAATTTGGTACTTCCTACTTGTAAACTTATACTTAATCATGCATGTAAATGTCCTTACCATAATAAAAACTAGTATGGCATTTCCAGGGGGAGCCATCATAAGTTCTTTGGCATTGCTTCCTTAAAATTAACAATGAAAATAAATAATTTCTTCACAAAATCCTGGAATATTGAGTGAATGAAGTAATATTTACTATAATAATGACTTTTTAATATTTACATAGCTGCTGAACAATCACAAGAGCTAGATTCTATGATGAACAAATTGACATTAGAGAGAGATAGGTTGTTGTCTCAAGTGAAGGAGTTACGACGTGAGATGGCGGACCGGGACTCGGAGAACTCGTCATTTGAGCTGCGTATCAATCAGCGGAACTCGCAACTTGTTGAACTGCAGGAACAGATCAACGAGAAAGCGATTGAAGTCACTAAACTTGATAGAAAGGTAGGGTCTGCTTGATTCATATTTAAACAGAATGTGTTTAGGTTGGTTTTTTGCTTGATTGATATTTTGACAGAATGTTTTGTTGTTGTTGTTGTTTTTTGTAAAATGAAAGTTATGTGCTAGGTGTCACTAAACCTGAAAGAAAAGTAAGGTCTGCTTGATTTATATTTTGACAGAAAGATTTTTTTTTGTGACAATTAAAAGACCCAACTGACATGCTAGGTGTCCCTAAATGTAATAGAAAGGTAGGGTCTACTTGATTCATATTTTGACAGAATGAATTCTTTTGTGAACATTTATAACTAGGCATGCCAGATGTCACTCAACTTTATAGAGAAGTTTATATTTAGAGGCAAAATTGTTTTATTGAAAATATAAGCACTGAGATATTTTAAACTTTAAGAAAAAGCATTGAATGAAAAATAGCAACTTTAAGTTTTTGAATGAAAGTTGGTATCTCCAAAACTAATGAGTCAAGAGAGTTGATTGAAACTTCACACACTTATAGAGAGGATAAAAGGAGGTCATTATATAAGGTCCATACCTCTAACATGGAGTTTGACTGAATAATGTCCTTTTCTACACTTAGAAAATTCTACTTTTTCCTGGCTCTTGAATTTTTATACACTTAGAAAATTCTACTTTTTCCTGGCTCTTGAATTTTATATTATCCAGACTTGATTTACTATCAAGGATAGTCAAACACTCAGTTATACTGGCAGCTCTTGTTATTGAGAGTTTTTTTTTTTTCTTTTCTTTTAAATTTTCAGAATCGGGATAAAAATAGTCGAATATCCAGCCTAGAAGAACAGTTAAATGAGAAGACGTCTCAATGCACACATCAAGCTTCTAGAATCAAGCACCTAGAGGAGGAGATCACCACGAGGGAGAGTGAGGCTCAGGCCCTCCACCGAGAGCTGAGGGAGAAACAGGGCGGGGCAGATGTAGCCCTCGAGGAGAGGGAGAGGATACAGAAAATACATAGGGAACAGTGTCAGGACTACCAGAAACAAATTGATATTGTAAGCTTTAATTTTGATAGGAAAATATATAGTTTATACAGAATGGTAAAGAAACCATGTAATCTAAATGGAGTGGCATAGAAACCAAATAATTTGTAATGAATGGCATAGAAACCAAATAATTTGAATTGAATGGTATAGAAACCAAATAATTATTGTGGAATTGCATATAGTCCATATAATTTGTATACCATATAAATTATATAGAATGGTGTAGAAACTAAATGATTTGTATGGAATAGCATATAGACCATATAATTTTTGTGGAATGTCATAGATACCCTGTAATTTGTATGGAATGACATAGAAGCCATATAATTTGTATGGAATGAAATACAATATAGTTATGATCTTGGTCAACATCTATTAACTGTTAACTATGACATTTTTATGAAGAGATAAAATGTGTTCAAATAGTATGTGTTGGGAATTAATCTGTGAAAAAAGAGATCATTGTGCTGATTAAAGTTGAGCTTTGCACACAAGAACTGCTCCTATTAAGATTCATGATACTGTTCATGAAAATTTTGAAAATTTATTTTAAAGTAAGACATTGTGAAGTTAATCAAGATTGTAATTTACACATTGCAAAGGGCACTTAAAATCCATGTAAATTAAAAAAAAATGGTCAAAATATGCCAAAAAAAATCCTGTATTTTCATATTTTTTTCGCTTATTTTCTGCCTGATTTTCGCAGTAGAAATATGGTGATTAATACTGAAAAATCACTTATTTGATCACAGATAACTTGTAAAGTATTACTTTAAGTCTTGAATATTTTTTTATTTTTCTTAAAGTCTTAGTACATTTTCTCATATTTGATTTTCTTGAAATGATTTTGCTCTTTTGAAGGCATGTGGCTTTAATACAAGGTTATGGTATGGTAGGCATACAAAAATATAAAAAGTTCTTTTTATATAAATTGATTTACAAAAGTTGTATGTACATTATTTGTATGTCAGTTACAAGAGAGGGTGGAGAATAAAGCAAGCCAAGCCTTAGAGTGGGAGAAGCAGACAGACATATTACGGCGGGAAATTTCGGATAAAAATCACTACTTACATGAGACTGAACAACAGCTGGCCAGAACTAAAAGTGTAGGTTAAACAATGTTTTACTTAAACAATGTTTTACTTAAACAATGTTTTACTTAAGTGATGTTTTATTTAAAGATTTACCCTAAAATCAAGAAATCTTAATAGTATAAGGAATAAGGAAGAAACTTTTTGCAAGTCGTTTCCTTGAGCAAGAAACTTTTCACTTATTGCTCAGTACTGATTAGTTTCCAGCAACTGGAATTTTGACCACTCTATAAAATTTTGAGGTGTGGGGTTTTGATCTGTGGGGTTTTGTCTGTCTTCCTTATTTTGGTGTGATGTGCATCAAGCATACTCTATAACTATTCTATTTAATCATTTTAGAACTCACATTTACCCTTTCTAGATAAGGAAAATTTTATTTTATTCTCAGGAGTAATGTGCCTTTAAATTAAAGATTTATTTGACTCATCTGGAGACATAGCAATTTAATTATTTACTCTGTTTTTGTTGACATTTTCTAATAGGATCTCAAAGATAAGACTGATCAAATTCGAGAGGTTTTACACCAGTTGGACACACAGTCGAAAGAAAGTACAGAGCGTATTAAACAACTTGAGTCAACATTAAACATGTGTAAAAAGGAGATAAAGACATATATAGGAGCTTTAGAGGAGTCGAAAGAATTTTATGACAGGGAGATCAAAGAAAGGGATGATAAGGTATTAGTGGATGATTTTATATGAGGAAATTATTCAATTGTTTAGAAGGTTCGTGGTTTCATTCAGTTACCCACACATGTCTGTATGAATGGGCACCTGAGGTCTTCCTTTACCAGTTTGAAATTCATTATATGAACTTTACAGTGTAGTTGCAAAACAAAAATAAGTATAAAAAATCAACCTTTGTGTTATTGTAAAGCAGCAGGGTGTTCACTTGCCATGAAATTCTGAGGGTCATTTGGACTAAGTTTTACTGACTTCAAGGCCAAATCCCCATGATTTTAACAAACTGACCCTCCAGTTAAAATTCTGAGGGTCAAATCAGGATTTTTGGAAATTTGAAGGGTCAAAGAGTCATTTCAAGGGTCAAACGAACACCCTGATTTAAGCATTTCATTTAGTTAAAGCTGTAACTAAACAGATAAAATAAAAAAAAAAATTTTTTTTATATTTAGATAAACCATTTGAATAAAGAGAATCAGGTGAAAGGTCACGAGTTGGAGGTGAGAAGTCAAGAATGTGAGCAGTTAGAGAAAAGCGTCATGGAGGCACAGAGCATGTTACAACAGAGCACATCACGCATACACGAACTTGAGGAGCTGCAGGCACAGTCACAGGAACAGGTCCTACATTTATAACTTCATAACTGTTATATTTTATGTGCATATTGAACATTTAGCATCATATGGGTGTTTTTTTTAAAGGAGCGGCCCGAAAAACATAAAATTTAAAAATCTTACATAGATCATCTGTGGAACTTAAAATGGAAAACAAATATGGGAAAGATAATATGAAAAAAAAATACACAGAATTCAATTGAAAATCAATTTTTAGTTTGATATCTAGTAAGATTTTAGTGAAAACGTCCAGAAGCTTTCCATTTTTAGGTCATTTTGCAGAACTAATAATATAATATATGGTTTATGTTTTTATCTTATTAACTGAATAGTCTAAATAAAGCAAAACATGGCTTGATAAATTGTGTTGGGGTCACAAATCTTTTTTATCGCAATGTAGGTATGTAATTTGGAGCACCAGCTTCTGACAGGAAACACCCAGTGGATGAGGGATCAACAAACCATGGAAACCAAGTTGAAACAAGCATGTGAAGACCTAGAACAGAAAACTACCCAACTAAAAGATCTCACAAAAACACTGAAGTAAGAAAATTTGATAACAAATGCCTATGCTTTACTGTGTAAGGTATTGTAATACAGTACCCTCCAGAGGCCCAAGAGATTTGTTCACTTGCTGTTCATTGCAGAATTTATTGCCAGCTACTTTTTTTCAAACCATGCTATATAAAAATGCTTTAAAATTGCGTAATACAGGAATTGTTGGTTTGATCCTTGCTTGAATGAGACAAAATTCCTCCGTGATAATTGTTCTTTGACATTGAGTCTGATGGTGATTTGTCTCTCACAGCAGATTGAGGAATCAGGTTTAAACATATATATTTAAGCTCGATTGCGAAACAAGTTCTTGCAACATATAATCATCACTTTTGAGTCTGCTTCCTTGAACCAACCAGTACTAGTGTGATATGAAGAAACATGGTCGTGACCCCATAAAGGCTCGAACCCATGATCCCTGGGTTGAGAAGCAGACATCTTAACCATTAGGCCACACCATTAGGCCACCACTCTCTTTGAGGAATCATGTGGGATAAGTAGTTGGTCACTTGGAAAGAAATGGATGAATAATAGTTTGTTGATGATTGAAAGCTGGTTAAGAAGACTGGTTACCAAGATATGACAAAAAAATGAATGTGTTAAATTCCATGTAAAAAACACAGAAGCAAACAAAGTTTTAAATTCAGCCAGGAAGGCTGCTCTCAACTTTTACTGACTACTTTAAAATTCATGAAGTGCACTAGATTATTTCAAGGCTTTGCTGACTCAGATCTGGGGTAATCATTAACCGCAATCTTTAATTTTTTGATTGATTGCATGATTACACTGTAATTATCATGTCATTGATTACCTTGCCCAAAATTGAATAAATTAATTGTAACAGTCCACAAGTAACATTTATCACGTTTGATTTTATGATGTATTTTGCTATTATTTTTAAAGACATGTCGAGGATGAGCGACGTCAAATGTCTACGGAAATAGAACTGCTAGAATCACAGTTAAACGATGAGCAAGATGGCCATGACATGAAGACTGAACGAATCTCCAAACTGGAGAAGGATCTCCGAGATATGAGGGTACAATTAGAACAGAAGATCGAACTAGGTACGGTAAAATGATATCTCTTTCTGTACATTTATTACACAAACATTAAAGTTCCAAACAACAACACCTAGTATTTTATATCTTCAAAATTTATTGATGCGTTTCAATTGATAGCTTTATGAGAACATATTTTTCTATATGCCCGGTAAAATTTCAGTGTAAACATTGTTATGCACCAGGTTGTTAGCAGGCTTAGAATAATTGAGAATAAAATGATACATGCATAATGCTTACCTGAGGTTAACATACATGTAATAAAATTTTATTTGCCATTCAATAAATTCAATATTGAACCAACACTCATTAAATACCTTCTATTTATCTGCAGTCACCAACTTTGAAGACCAAATTCTTAAAATAAAATGATACATGTATAATTCTTGCCAGAGTCTTACATACATGTAATGAGATTTTATTCAAACTGTTCAATAAATTCAGTATTTAACCATCATTCATTCATTATTTTATATTTATGTACAGTGACCGACTTTGAAGACCGCATTTCTTAAATTGAAGTGAAACATGTATTATTCATACAAATGTAATAAGATTTTATTCAAGTCGTTCAATAAATTCAGTATTGAACTTACACTCATTCAATATCTTCTATTTATGCACAGTGACAGACTTTGAAGACCAGCTTCATCAGAAGAATTCCGACATGGAGCAACAGTTACAGCTTGTCTCTGACCTTGACATTGAAATCAAACGGTTACAGGTATGTCTCTATGTCATAACTATTTTACAATTATATAAAAAAATATTTTGACAGCAAAATCAGGTAATAAATTAACCAAAAAACTGCAGAATTTGTTGATTAATGGATATGACCAGTTGTTGATAATTTTTTTTGGTGTACTGTATCTAATGTCAGTTATGTTGAATATCTTTGTACATGTTAAATAAGAATATTAAAGTGGGATATGACTAAAGATAATGTAATATTAATGTATATACTTACAGGATATGCACCAAGAGTCGTTAGAGAGGATATCAGATTTCGAGAAACAATTAGATCGTGCCGGGTACGAGGCGAAGGCCAGAGAAGAAATGATGGAGGATATGAAAGATTCTCTAGCGTAAATTTTACAACTGCTTTATACACAATTAAATTTTCATTTATAGTGGCGCATTATGATTGTACAGGATGATGATGCTCCAATTTAAAAAAATAATAATTTTATCTTCACATATTTTTCCTCTCATTTAGACAAAATGCACATAGACTAATAATGTGGGTAAATATTATGTAAATATCTCGTTTTGTTGATTTAATATCTTAATTATTATTTTGATAAAATAAATAATTTAGTAGCATTGTTTTACTATCAAGCCTCCAGAAAAGTCGAGCACACTGTCCTACTGTCAGCTCTTGTTCAAAACTTTTCTTGATAATATACATATAAGATTATATTTAAAAAAAAGAAAGAAATTCCTACCTACATATCCCTCTCTTGGGATGGGTGGGTGTGTAGGGTATGGAGAAGCAGATTTTCAGAATTGCTTTTTTGCCTTAGAATTATATAAATATTTCTACATTACATAGGGCTGTACAAGAAGAGCTGAGCATTAAGAAAAGTGAAGTAGAGAATCTAAGAGAATTATTAGAACAGAGACAAGGGGAGCTTGAAGAGAGAGTTGCTCTAGTAAGTTTTTAATATGTTTCTTTATATCATGTGGGCCTCTGTTGCGAAGGTTGCTGGTGTCAAATCACTTGCTTTTTAGCACTATGGGTTTGAATCCCATCAGTGACTGGTAGTATGTGAGCAAGTTAGCTATACAGTTAGCTTACAGAAAGTTGGTGATTTCGTTTAATTGCCTATTTGTTTCTGAGAACAATGTTTGAAGCAGCACCCATGGTCTTCCTTCTGGAAGTTACTATATGATCATTTAAATTACATAGAAACAAAATTTTTTTAAATGTTATTTATAAAATAAAACACATAGTCACATAAACTGTGGTGCAGAAGTGTAATGAAGCCATTCAATAAAAACGATATTACACCTAATGTAATAACACTTTGTCGTGACATCATTTGCGATATATGCAAAGAAAGTGTTAAAGTGCCCAAATGTTGACATTACACTATATGCACATCAACGAAAAATGACTAACTGTAAACCTATCATTAATAGAATGTTGTATTAGTGTAGATTCAATACTAAATTTATTGAACTTGATGAATAAATTAATTATTAAATTACAGTCATTAAATATCCTCTATTTATATAATAAACAAGAGCCCGGTTTGAGCCGGGTGATGCTCCCCGAATAGGTTTTGGACACAGGAAAGTACACCTCTTGTAGTTTCAGAGTTATGTCCGTGGAAAAAGTTCAAAGTGCAATAATTCCAAAATTAGGCAAGGCTGTTACAGTTTTTTGCACTGCACTTATAATCAATGTGATCTATCAACTTACAAAGTTTCTTGATGATATCTCTTATGATTTCCGAGTTATGTCCTGGACAATTCAAAAAGTAAAAATAAACAAAGGGCAATAACTCCAGAATTAGGCAAGGTAGAGTTATGATTCTTGTGCACTGCACATCTACCCATTGAGATTTATCTACCTACAAAGTTTCATGTTGATATCTCTTATAGTTTTACAGCTATGTCCTGGACAAGATTTTTCTAAAAGGGGAGATTATTCAAAAATAAGGCTTAACAGAGTTATGGTTCTTTTGCACTGCACATCTATCCATTGAGATCTATTCACCTACAAAGTTTCATGTTGATATCTCTTATAGTTTTAGAGTTATGCCCCGGACAAGATTTTTTGTACAAGGGGAGATAATTCAAATATCGGGCAAAATAGAGTTATGGTTCTTTGACATTGCACTCCCCCTCGATGCCCTCTACCACTGTATGAAGTTTCAACAAATTATCTCCAAGGGTTTTCAAGTTATGTTCCGGACAAAGTTCAAAGTATCAAAATAAACAAAGGGCAATAACTCCAAAATTAGGATAAAAAGAGTTATTGTTCTTATGCACTGCACATCTACGCATTGAGATCTATTCACCTACAAAAATTCATGTTGATATCTCTTATAGTTTTAGAGTTATGCCCCGGACAAGATTTTTCTATAAGGGGAGATAATTCAAAAACTGGGCAAAGTAGAGTTATGGTTCTTTGACACTGCACTCCCCCTCAATGCCCTCTACCACTGTATGAAGTTTCAACAAATTATCTCCAAGGGTTTTCAAGTTATGTTCCGGACAAAGTTCAAAGTATTAAAATTAACAAAGGGCAATAACTCCAAAATTAGGACAAAAAGAGTTATTGTTCTTATGCACTGCACATCTACCCATTGAGATCTATTCACCTACAAAGTTTCATGTTGATATCTCTTATAGTTTTAGAGTTATGCCCCGGACAAGATTTTTCTATAAGGGGAGATAATTCAAAAACCGGGCAAAATAGAGTTATGGTTCTTTGACACTGCACTCCCCCTCGATGCCCTCTACCACTGTATGAAGTTTCAACAAATTATCTCCAAGGGTTTTCAAGTTATGCTCCGGACAAGACAACGGACGGACAGACGGACAAGGCGCATAAAAACTATAATTATCTGAAGGAATATTTCTTGATTAATATTCTGATTTGAAAATAAGAACATATTCTGTGATTTCAGGTTAATCAACTTGACCAGACAATCAAGGAACAACATCAGGAGATGGAACATCGTATACAAAAACTGGATTCTAATGTTAGAAAACAGGAAATAGAAGTTCAGGAAAGAACCAAACAGGTAAGTTACTTCTGATTTAGCTTTTGTCCTAAGAACTCTTACTTACAGGCACATCAATGATGTCAAGATTTCATAATAATGTTGATAATGTTAACGGAGCTCCACTGAGGTTCAAAAGCCTAAAACATAAAATTTGAAATTCTACCATAAATCAAGTAGAGCTCTTTAAAAAAGAAGATAACAAAGTGATAATAAGAATTAAATTGAAAATAAATTATTTTGTGATTCAAAGTGCCATTTTTAGTTTAAAAGTGTTCAAATGTTTTTCAATTTCGGTCATTTCATTGAATGAACCACTCAAAAACCCTACATGTATTTTGATAGTATCAACAACTCAAAACACAATTTTCATAGGTTCGTCAAAATGAAACCCGACTTTAGTAAGATCAACTTCACTCATATCTAGCATAATTTTGAGGTAGGCTTATTTTGCACAGAGCTTTGATAAGACAGGGCTTTTTTCAAAGGTAGGGGAAGAAGCCCTGCCCTTAATTTTGGTGAAAATTGTATGGTATATTTGCAAAAATGGAAGAAAAAGCTTGATGAAAAAGTTGAAATTTTTGGGGAAAACTGCATGATTTTAAAGAATTTTTCTTTGGGGAAGCAGCCCTATAACGGCCCCTGCTATAGCAGGAAAAAAAACTCTGTAAAGGGATTAACTAAGTTTTGAGACTGGGTCTAAAGTCAACCCATCTTCTCATGGCTATCATATATTACACATATACTACAGATAACTGACTTAGACGACAAATTACAACAAACACAGTCTCAGCTGAGAGAGAAAATGTTACAACATCAACAGTCAGAACAACTCTGTCAGAAACAACAGATTGATCTCAATTCTAAGACAGCAAAACTACAAGAACTTGAAACTGTGAGCATTTGTTTATTTATGTATTTAATTGTGATAAGGTTAATTTTTGTTGTATTTTATACTGTCAGCATTTACTCGATATCCACTTAGTTGCCTGTGAATGAGATTAAAAAAGAAAGACTGACTTTTTCATTTCGATGTTTTAAAATTTTATTTGTTTTTGTTTTTTTTTCTTTTTGGAGGTGGAGGGATGAGAGTTCTTTTTTTTAAAAACATTTTTCTCCTTTAAAAAAAAAAATAGAGGGAGGGGTCAGTGGGTGGGAGGGGGGTGGTTTAAATGTTTTGTGTCTTTTTTAAACAGACTTTGTGCTGTTACATCCATTGTATTATACATGTATTGCTTTTTTTTAAAATACTCAGCTTGTGGAAAGACAGAAGATGAAGTTAGAGGAACAGAAAAATGAAAATGTTGATATTACTCAAGAGCTAAGACTTACCAGGTAAACTTTAAATGTTTAGATATTAAATATGTTATAAAGATATATAAGTGGAGTGGTGGCCTAGTCGTTAAGGTGTCTCCTTCTCAATCCAGAGATCTTTGGCTTGAGTTGTAAAGGATCACAACGATGTAAGGTAATAGTTCCAGAAAGCAGCCTTGAAAGTGATTAATAAAAGTTGCAAGAACTTGTTTCACAATCAAGCTTAGATAAATATGTTTGAACCAATTAAAATTATATAATAAGTCCTACTGTATATGCTTTCGGAATTTTCTTTTAATTGAATTTCAAGCCAGAATCTTGAACCAGATTTAGCTGATAATTATAGTTTTAAAAAATTAAATCATTTTTTTTGTCTTGTCAATATACCATTTCAAAATTAATAATCTTACAAATATTTTTAGTTTGGTTTGTAACTGAAGGATTTAAATGCATCAGAAAAAGATACCGCTGTGGTTGGGTTTCAAACTCTGAACCCTCCTTTAACAAATGTAACAATGCCCCAGGCCACTGAGTCAAAGAATCGATTCCCTGTTTTGGCTGTGAAAGGGTGTACATAAAGTGTGCTCTCAACAGTAACATTTAAATGCAGAAATGATAAGAGCTTAGCCTTAAGTGTGCTTAAAATTTTCACCCATTCAAGGTAACTTTAAAAGCTTTAGTTGAGCTGTAAAATGTCTGGTTAGATGGCACTGATATGGAGGCTGATTGATTACAGAGTACCTCTGCTCTGATATACCATACCACTGCTCTGATATACCATACCACTGCACTGATATACCATACCTCTGCTCTGATATACCATACCTCTGCTCTGATACACCATACCTCTGCTCTGATATACCATACCTCTGCTCTGATATACCATACCTCTGCTATGATATACCATACCACTGCTCTGATATACCATACCTTTGCTCTGATATACCATACCACTGCTCAGATAAAGGATACCTCTGCTTTGATATACCATACCTCTGCTCTGATATACCATACCACTGCTCTGATATACCATACTTCTGTCCTGATATACCATACCTCTGCTCTGATATACCATACCTCTACCCTGATACACCATACCTATGCCCTGATACACCATACCTTTGCTGCAATGACAAAGGCAAGTCATTATTGCCACTAGCAGTCAAAATTTAACACCAAAATTTTGTATTTTATGATACAGAGAGCAGCTTCAACAGCAACATTCAGATTTTATGTCCACAAGAAGAGAACTTGCACATTCTAATAGAGAACATGAGAAACTTACAAGAGAATTAGAGGAGTTAAGATCTATACTAGAGGTAAGATAGTCTTGTCTATTAACCCTTTATTGCCATAGGGACGGCTATGCCGTCCCTGTTATTTTCGGCGTATTTGCCTTATGGATGGCTTTTGCCATTTCTATAATAATTATAATAATAATAATAAATTAATAATAATAAATATAAATAAAATTATACCATCAACAATAATTATTATTATACTAACAGATTTGGAAGCATATATAATTATTATAATACTAATAACAAATAATAATAATTATATTAATTAATAATATAGTAATTTCTTAGAAAACCCTCTGGCAAATAGGTAATCAATAAAACAATAACCCTCTGGCAGCGAAAGGGTTAAAGATCAGTTTTTGTTTGACATGTGTATGAGTAAAGAGGTCTGGTAATAAAAAGAGATAAGGAGATGAAACACACGAAGCTAAGTTGGTCAGGTTTCAATAAATTAATTTAGACCTACGTTTCAGCTATTCAATAGCCTTCATCAGGGTTGTAGTAAAGGGGTCGTCAATGAATATTAAGCATTTAAAACATTCAATTTTATTTAAGCATGAAAGTAGAAAAACAAACTAACTTACAGGTGTGAGTTCATGGTTATTGAATGCAATGCATATAATTTCATGTGTATTGTTAAATAAAGTATATTTTAACATATTTCAAATCACTTGCCCCTCACAGCTGTGGGTTTGAATCCTGACAGAAACTTTGGATTCTTTCATATGAGGAAGCTATCAAGCTCGCTTACGGAATGGAACATTGGTGGTTCTACTCATATGAAAAAAAGTTGCCCATATGACCTATACTATGTTGGTGCAACATAAAACCCAACAAACTAACAAAAGTATAATTATTTTTTTCTAGTCTCAGGAAGATGATGCTGCAAGGTTAGCTGAAGAATTGGGAGCAGCCAAGGTGAAAGAGAAAGATGCAGAATCTCGTAAAGAACGTGAATTACATAAACTCTCCGAGGAACATGATGATCTCCAGATGAAATTCCAGTCAGAAGTAAGTCATTGAAGAAGGGGATTCTGTTATCATTTAAGCAGTTTTTTTATTGTTTGATGTGCACGGGTATAATGATATTTTTATCTTGTGTATCATGTTCAGAATTAAACCTATTGCATATTTCCTTTATGTTGCAAATTTATCAATTGTTTATACAGAATTGATTTAGTTTCTATTGTGTAGAAAGCTTTATTCTTAAAGACACACTCTCAAACTGGCTCCTGTATATAACCAGTAGTTTACCATTAGTCTAAAATGGGTAAAAACAATCAGATAACTTACTTGCTATAGATGCTAGTTCAAAGGGTGTTGCCAAAGCATTGTTCTGTGAGATAGAAGCTACCTTGTTGGAGTAGGTTTAGACCAATAACTTGTGTACAAATTTTCAGTTCATTCAATAACTCCAATTTTTCCAGAGAAATCTTCTTATAATTTTTCTGAGGGACCAAAACCACCCTTTCTAACTCAATTTTGGGTTAAGAGTCACACAAAAAATGAATTACAATTTCATTCTGTGAATATCAAATTTTAAGATTTTAGAATTTTGGACCTCAGTGGATCTATTTTGAATAGTTACAGCTGCAATTGTTCACATATATAGTTTTTTATAACAATGTTTGCAGAAACAAAATTCTTAGTAATAGAAAGAATATCAAAACACAAGGCTATCTGATTCATACGAGAGGGGGGCAAAGTTAACACACTGTGCATGTATTTGTATACAATTTAACTCTGACACCTTTTTAACAGAAAGGTCCCAAAACTATGATACAAATAAATATATGAAATATGATTTTAGCTTGGTGCTCTTAGAGAGGAGATTGCAGACTACAGAGAAGCTAATGATATTCTAAAGGCACAGTTAAAAGAAAAATCCAAGCAGCTGAATGAAATGGAGCAGCATTATGCTGATCAGGTTCACATAGCTGCTCAGGAGCTTGATAATATAAATGAGGAAGTGGAGGCTAGGAAGCTTCAGATGGATGCTTCAAATGAACAAATTATATTAAAGGTAAGTAACTCTAGATAGTAAAGGTAAATAACTCTAGATTAAGGGCACATTATGTCTCAGAAACAAATACATTTTTACTTCTTTAGAAAAAGCAAACATGAATTTTATAATGTTTTAATAATGGTTTTAGAGAATGTTAAATTGTAGATGCTTTTTACTTGAAGAAAGTAGTGATAAATTAGAAATGATTTATCACAAACGTAGCAAAATGTAAACAAAGTAGTATTTTGACTTCCATACAAAATACTAATTCACTATGACTATACTTTTTTACCAAAAAGCAACAGATGGAGAAGAGGATTCTGGTAATTGGCCAATGAGTAAATTTTTGGATACTATAAAAGTACAACAAAATTAAAATGCTTTTGAGAAATAAAAATAAAAGCATTTCTGAGGCATAATTGGCCGTAAAGGGAAACTTTAAGGAAAATTAAAACATTAAGTTTTAACTGAATAGCAAACAATGTATTCCATGTCCAGCAAATGGCACTGATGTGTCAGCTGATCTTGGCCTTCTCTAGTTTTGAGGGTAGTATTTGTTCCCACCAGAAATCCAAAGGTTATTGCTCTGAAGAAATATAATGCAGGCATTGCTGTAATGTAAGTTGTGTTGGACCAATTTGTCCCAATATTTATCATGTTAGGATATTTACTTTTGCTGATGTCCAGAATTCTTATATCCTACAACAGTATGCTTTATTGTCTAGAAAATAAGTTGCACAGAAGGACCAATTGGCACCACAGGTCTCCATTCATCAGAGTAAGACTGGCGAGTCTTTGTATAAACTTATCACGAACCGTAGACGAAACTGATGTCAAATGAAAAATTGATAACAATTTGTAAATTAATCAAACTTGATTCATTTTACAGGATTCTGAGATAGCTCGTTTACAAGCAAAAATATCTGGACTAGAGAGAACATTAGCCGCTATGAGATTATCAGACAGTAGTTTTAACATGACTGCATCTGGGAGTAGAGACTCTGATATAGGTTTGTATCATTATATAAGCCCAACAAGACAAAACCAACATAGTGCGTTTGCGACCAACATGGATCCAGACCAGCTTGCCCATCCGCGCAGTCTGATCAGGATCCATGATGTTTGCTTACAAACCCTATTACAAGTACAGAAACTGATAGCGAACAGCATGGATCCTAATCAGAATGCGGGGATGCACAGGCTAGTGTGGATCCATGCTGGTGGCAAACCCACTATGTTGGTTTTGTCATGGCACGGCTCAATTATTAGTTGTAAAAGGGGTTTTAATCCAGCACTTGATGGCTCTGGGGTTTTTTCTGATCTAATTCTACGGTCCAGACAAACTTTTACAGTATTTATGCTTCAAAGTATACTACCATTCACAATATTGTGATTAACATGTTGCGCTTATTATCGTTGTGTGTTTATTAAGTTTTAACTATTTATGTTTGTTTGTACCCCGGGATTTGGTGGGGAAAACCCACATTTATAGATTTGAGATAGTTCACTATTAGTTATATAGTTCACTGATGGAGAAAAGAGCCAGAGTAAGATATAAATGACTGGAGTTGCTATGTGAATGTTTACATGAATGTTGGTCAGCATGTGTAGTTGTGCAACTTAGGGTTTGCTTGTTGATTTATTCAGTATGTGTAGTGTTTTTGTCATTGGCTTAGTAAAAGATTTTTAGTTTTCAATTTGTGTCATGTTTAGCCCAAAAGGTATTTGACCTAGAGTCAGTAGATTAACAAAACAGTGAAATATGGGGGGCACCCATGTCCTTTGGATATATTTTTAGTTAAAACCAAAAAGGAAATAGATGTTGAGTAGATATTAGCTATTTCTATGTACATTTCCAACATAAACATTGTATTGATTTCATGTTTGACATAATTATCAATGAAATTCACAAATTGATTGCATGTTGCGTAAGGATTCTCTTTCAGTGAGAAAAGAAATTCTATTTCTAAATAACAGCCTTTGTAATATTACAAGGTTGATTAATATACTTTATTCTTTTTAAACAGGAATATGTTTGTTTTGTTAATTTTCCTTATGCATGAAAATTATGTATGTAATCAGTTTACATCAACACAGTACGGAGGGTTACTGGTTCTACTTGAGGGGCATGCTCTTGCCTGAAGTAATGCTTAAAAGGGGTATATGAGGTCTTCTACCCTCACTATAATTGAAATAATACTTGATAATATGCACAATATGTGAACAATTTAAGCAACAGGTGTCCACTACTTTATTGCTAGATAAATAAACAGGGTGATTTACAGACTAAATCTTAGAATTTAAATGTATAAATTATAAACTATTTAATGAAGAGCCTATCAACTGGTGAACATTCCATGTATTAATATGGAGTGAGGCTCAAAAAAGTGTTAAGCACCCCATTAATTCTGTATTCCAGTGTATACCGCAAAAGGCGCTTGAATGATTAAATGCTAAAATCTCACCTTTTCACCCAACGAAATGCACTTTAAAATGTCTTATTTATGTACAAAAATGAATAATTACATACATGTGAAGTTTTTTTGATGATCAAGTGGGAGATTTTTCTTCAAAAAGGGGGAGATTTTAGAATTTGCAATTAACAAAGAAGAAAGTTCTGACATCAAAAAAGCGGGAGATTTCTTTAATTTGTGAAATACCCCTTATTTTGGGGGGAAAAACTGAAAATATGGTTGAAGAAAGTTGGAGTCTCATGCTAAAAGTCGGAGAGTTTACATGCATGAAAAAAATGGAAGAACCTGCGAATCTACTTTGTGATCATGATTTCTGTAAGCATCTTGAGGTATTATAGTGAGTTAAATCCATTTATAATTCATTGAATTTGTAGACTGAGGAGAAGTTGTAATTGTTTTACCACTATATACTGACTTGTAGTTACAGAGTGTCAATTGAAGTCTTACTACCTCTTCAGCTGGAAAGTCACCATACAACCTTTATTGTATTGGTGTGACAAGTTTAAATCCTCCCACAAAAAAACAACAACAAAAAACAAACAAAAAAACAAATTACTATAGTTATGATATGCTAGCATCATTAATGTGTTTTTCTGTTGCTGTATTTCATTTATATGTATATGATACATATAAAATTGTAATTGCAGGGACAAAAGGACAGAGTGTTCTAAAACCAGGCCGACCCAGTAATGCTAGAAATAAAGAAATCATTCTAACGGACGTGTCAGTGACTTTACCAAACACTGAATTAATGGCTCAGAATGTTGAATTCGGACAAGAAGTGGAAATTCAGTATGTTAGCAAAGGTGATACTAATAACAATAGTGCTGGTAGAAATAGACTAGAACCTGACCAGGAAAATATTGAACCATCGGGACCAGTCAGGGTGCTTAATTTTAGTGAAAACGATGAAAAAGGTGGTCAGAATTCTGGAATACATAGACCTAAACCAGTCTTGCCAAATGGTGCTTACAAAAAGTCCAAGGATGCCATTTTAGAGGGGACATCTAAAGAATCAAGTGGGGACGGAAAGCAACAAAAACAGAGTGCATTTGCTAGAGTAGTCAAAGATAAGAAAGTTAGTAGAGATGAAAAGACATTCCCAGGAGAAAAAGATTTAGGTAACCTAGAGACAACGAAAATTGTTCTTATTAATTTTATGCCAGTTTTTGCTAATCTGTTACGAAGACACAGTCCAGCTATAATGATCACTGCAGCATCATTGTTGGTGTTGTGCAAAAACTTTAATTTAGCCCTTCATTCAAACAATTAATAAGTTGTCAACATGAAATTTGGAATACTTGCTTATATCATGACAAGGTGCAGTTGTTAGACAAGGGGGATAATTCTAAAACCAATGTTTTTGGAGATATGTACGTTTTTGTGCCCCCACTTTAGTGGCGGGCATTTAGATTTACCCTTGTCCGTCCTTCCGTCCGCTCACTTTTGTGTCACACGTAACTAAAAAAGTATTTTACCTAGAGTCATGAAACTTTACAGGAATGTTGATCAGCATGTGTAGTTGTGCACCTGGGTAATTTCCTCTGGATATTTTTAGTATTTTTAGCTCACCTGTCACAAAGTGACAGGGTGAGCTTTTGTGATCGCTTTTCGTCCGGCGTCCGGCCGTCGTCCGTCCGTCGTCCGTAAACTTTTACTTTAAATGACATCTCCTCATAAACCACAAGGCCAATTTCATCCAAACTTCACAGGAATGTTCCTTTGGTGGTCACCTTTAGAAATTGTTCAAAGAATTTAATTCCATGCAGAACTCTGGAAGCCATGGCAACCGAAAGAAAAAACTTTAAATATCTTCTTTTAAAAAACCGTAAGAGCTAGAGCTTAGATATTTGGCATGAAACATCTTCTAGTGAGTGTCTACCAAGTTTGTTCAAATAAAAGCCCTGCGGTCAAAATTGGCCCTGCCCAAGGGGGTCATTGATTTTTCCCTATATGCATATAGTAAAAACTTAAAAATTCTTCTTTTAAAGAACCCAAAGAGCTAGAGCTAAGATATTTAATATGAAACATGTTCTAATGAGTGTCTACCAAGTTTGTTCAAATAAAAGCCCTGGGGTCAATATTGGCCCCGCCCCAGGGGGTCATTGATTTTCCCTATATACATATAGTAAAAACTTAAAAAATCTTTTTTTTAAAGAACTCAAAGAGCTAGAGCTAAGATATTTAGCATCAAACATGTTCTAATAGGTGTCTACCAAGTTTGTTCAAATAAAAGCCCTGGCCCCGTGTTCACAAAGATTTAAGGATCAGGATCAAGATCAGGATCAAATTTAAAAACTCAAATATTCTCCATTATTTATTATCATAAATTATATATTCAATATTAAATTGATAAAACTGGACTTAAATAGCATATTAATGCAATTTTAAAATAAATTTATTGTCATTTTATACAAGAAATGGGCATTTTACAGTTGATCCAAATTTTGATCTTGATCCTAAAATTGATCCTTATTTTGATCCGATTATTTTTGTATTTGTTTCGTAATTAGTTGATTTTATCCAATAATAAGTTGGTTTCTTTGCAAATAAGCAATTATTTACAATTCGAATGTGTACCATTTAATTCTAGCATAATACGATCAATTTTAGTTTTATAAAACAATGGAAATAAAACCAGGATCACCTGATCCTGATCCTGATCTTTTCTTTGTGAACACGGGGCCTGGGGTCAAAATTGGCCCCGCCCCGGGGGTCATTGATTTTCGTTCTATGTGTATAGCAAAAACTTAAAAAATCTTCTTTGAAAAAACCCAAATAGCCAGCGTTTAGATATTAAGCATGAAACATCTTCTAGTGAGTGTCTACAAAGTTTGTTCAAATAAAAGACCTGGGGTCAAAATTGGCCCCGCCCCGGGGGTCATTGATTTTCCTTATATGTGTATAGCAAAAACTTAAAATCTTCTTTGAATAAACCCAAATAGCTAGAGTTTAGATATTAAGCATGAAACATCTTCTAGTAAGTGTCTACAAAATTTGTTCAAATAAAAGCCCTGGGGTCAAAACTGGCCCCGCCCCAGGGGTGTCATTGTTTTTAACTATATGTGTATAGTAAAAACTTAAAAAAATCTTCCTTTAAAAAGCCCAATGAGCTAGAGCTTTGATGTTTAGCATGGAGCTTTGATGTTTAGCATGAAACATCTTCTTATGGATGTCTACCAAGTTTGTTCAAATAAAAGCCCTTGGGTCAAAATTGGCCCCGCCCCAGGGGGTCATTGATTTTCCCTATATGCATATAGTAAAAACTTAAAAAATCTTTTTTTAAAGAACTCAAAGAGCTAGAGCTAAGATATTTAGCATCAAACATGTTCTAATAGGTGTCTACCAAGTTTGTTCAAATAAAAGCCCTGGGGTCAAAATTGGCCCCGCCCCTGGGGTCATTGATTTTCCTTATATGTGTATAGCAAAAACTTAAAAAATCTTCTTTGAAAAAACCCAAATAGCTAGAGTTTAGATATTAAGCATGAAACATCTTCTAGTAAGTGTCTACAAAGTTTGTTCAAATAAAAGCCCTGGGGTCAAAATTGGCCCCGCCCTGGGGGTCATTGATTTTCCTTATATGTGTATAGCAAAAACTTAAAATCTTCTTTGAAAAAACCAAAATAGCTAGAGTTTAGATATTAAGCATGAAACATCTTCTAGTAAGTGTCTACAAAGTTTGTTCAAATAAAAGCCCTGGGGTCAAAATTGGCCCCGCCCTGGGGGTCATTGATTTTCCTTATATGTGAATAGCAAAAACTTAAAATCTTCTTTGAAAAAACCAAAATAGCTAGAGTTTAGATATTAAGCATGAAACATCTTCTAGTAAGTATCTACAAAGTTTGTTCAAATAAAAGCCCTGGGGTCAAAACTGGCCCCGCCCCAGGGGTGTCATTGTTTTTAACTATATGTGTATAGTAAAAACTTTAAAAAATCTTCTTTTAAAAAGCCCAATGAGCTAGAGCTTAGATGTTTAGCATGAAACATCTTCTTATGGGTGGGGGGGGAGGGGGCTATATACAGGTGAGCTACCTCAGGGCCATCATGGCCCTCTTGTTACTTTTTAGCTCACCTGTAACAAAGTGAAAGGGTGAGCTTTTGTGATCTCTTTTCGTCCGGTGTCCGTCCGTCGTCCTTATGTCGTCCGTCCGTCGTCCATAAACTTTTACTTTAAATGACATCTCCTCATAAACCACTAAGCCAATTTCATCCAAACTTCACAGGAATGTTTCTTTGGTGGTCACCTTTGAAAATTGTTCAAAGAATTTAATTCCATGCAGAACTCTGGTTGCCATGGCAACCAAAAGAAAATACTTTAAATATCTTCTTCTATAAAACCCAAAGAGCTAGAGCTTAGATATTTGGCATGAAACCTCTCCTTGTGAGTGTCTACCAAGTTTGTTCAAATAATAGCCCTGGGGTCAAAATTGGCCCTGCCCCAGGGGGTCATTGATTTTCCCTATATGCATATAGTAAAAACTTAAAAAATCTTCTTTTAAAGAACCCAAAGAGCTAGAGCTTAGATATTTAGCATGAAACATCTTCTAATGGGTGTCTACCAAGTTTGTTCAAATAAAAGCCCGGGGGTCAAAATTGGTCCCGCCCCAGGGGGTCATTGATTTTCCCTATATGCATATAGTAAAAACTTAAAAAATCTTCTTTTAAAGAACCCAAAGAGCTAGAGCTAAGATATTTAGCATGAAACATATTCTAATGGATGTCTACCAAGTTTGTTCAAATAAGAGCCCCGGGGTCAAAATTTGCCCCGCCCCGGGGGTCATTGATTTTCCTTATATGTGTATAGCAAAAACTTAAAAAATCTTTTTTGAAAAAACTCAAATAGCTAGAGTTTAGATATTAAGCACGAAGCATCTTCTAGTGAGTGTCTACAAAGTTTGTTCAAATAAAAGCCCTGGGGTCAAAATTGGCCCAGCCCGGGGGGACATTGATTTTCCTTATATGTGTATAGCAAAAACTTAAAAATCTTCTTATAGCTAGAGTTTAGATATAAAGCCTGAAACATTTGCTAGTAAGTGTCTACAAAGATTGTTCAAATAAAAGCCCTGGGGTCAAAACTGGCCCTGCCCCAGGTGTGTCATTGTTTTTTACTATATGTGTAAAGAAAAAACTTGACCAGCTAGACCTTAGATGTTTAGCATGAAACATCTTCTAATGGGTGTCTACCAAGTTTGTTCAAATAAAAGCCCTGAGGTGAAATCGGCCTGCTCCGGGGGCCTATATACAGGTGAGCGACTTCAGGGCCATCATGGCCCTCTTGTTAGAGTTATTGCCCTTGACTTAGTAAAGTTTTGCAATTTTCAACTTGTGTCGCATGTAACTCAAAAAGTATTTGACCTAGAGTCATGAAATTTTACAGGAATGTTGATCAGCATGTGTAGTTGTGCACCTGGGTATTTTCGTCTGGAAATTTTCTAGTATTTTTAGAGTTATTGCCCTTGACTTAGTAAAATTTTGCAATTTTTAACTTGTGTCGCATGTAACTCAAAAAGGATTTGACATAGAGTCATGAAACTTTACAGGAATGTTGATCAGCATGTGTTGTTGTGCTCCTGTGTATTTTAGTCTGGATATTTTTAGTATTTTTAGAGTTATTGCCCTTGACTTAGTAAAATTTTGCAATTTTTAACTTGTGTCGCATGTAACTCAAAAAGGATTTGACATAGAGTCATGAAAATTGACAGGAATGTTGATCAGCATGTGTTGTTGTGCTCCTGGGTATTTTCGTCTGGATATTTTTAGTATTTTTAGAGTTATTGCCCTTGACTTAGTAAAATTTTGCAATTTTTAACTTGTGTCGCATGTAACTCAAAAAGGATTTGACATAGAGTCATTAAACCTTATGGGAAAGTTGGGCAGCATATTAAGTTTTGCACCTGGGGTTTCGCTTGTGGATTTATCCAGTATTTGTAGAGTTATTTCCCTTGACTTAGTAAAAACTGTTTAATTATGTTGTTATTTGTTTCTTGAGTGCTTGAGTTAGAATCAACCAACTTTACAGGAATAATGATCAACATCACTAAAATATAGGAATAATGATTCGCATCACTGTGAAGCTATGCACCTGGGACTTTACATGTGGATTTTTTCAGTTTTGTTAGAGTTATTGCCCTTGACTTACAGTAGTATAAATTTGCAGTTTTCAACTTGTTCATGCATAGCTCAAAAAGTATTTCACTTGTAGGCCTGAAAGTTTACAAGAATGTTGGTCAGCATGTGTACTTATGCACTTTAGGGTTTGCTTGTGGATTTATTCAGTATTTGTAAAGTTCTTGCCCTCTACTTAGTTAAAGATTTTTAGTTTTCAAAAAATATTTGACCTAGAGTCATAAGATTGACAGAACAGTGGCGCGGTGGGGGCACCCGTGTCCTATGGACACATTTCTAGTTTACAGACTAATGTCCACATTGCATGCAGTGCTCTTGTTAATTATCTTATTGAATTTTTATCATTTCTTTTGGATGGGGGTGCATCTTGATTTGCTCTTTCCTGTCATTCTGTTTATTCACTGTAATGCTTTTTATGCCCCCGCCATGTAATGGCCGGGGCATAAAGTGTTACCCTGTTCCGTCCTTCCGTCATTCCGTCATTCCGTCATTCTGTCATTCCGTCATCATCAGTTTCCGTTCATTATCTTAGTAACGGTTGCACACATTCAACTCAAATTTGACATATGGATATGTCATGAGAAAATACAGGTCAAGTTCGAATTTGGTCATGGTTTGATGATTTTTGGCAGAGTTATGCCCCTTTTACTTTAAAATAATATGAAATTTTCAGTTTCCGTTCATTATCTCCCCAACGGTACAACACAATCAACTCAAATTTGACATATGGGTATGTCTTGAGAAAATACAGGTCAAGTTCGAATTTGGTCGTGGTTAGATGATTTTTGGCAGAGTTATGCCCCTTTCACTTTGAAAATAATATGAAATTTTCAGTTTCCATTCATTATCTCCCCAACGGTACAACACATTCAACTCAAACTTGACATATGGATACATCAAAGGAATGTGAGGTCAAGTTCAAATTTGGTCGTGGTTCAATGATTTTTGGCAGAGTTATGCCCCTTTCACTTTCAAAATAATATGAAATTTTCAGTTTCTGTTTATTATCTCCCCAACAGTACAACACATTCAACTCAAATTAGACATATGGATATGTTTTTGGAATGCCCAGGCCAAGTTCGAATTTGGTCATGGTTCAATGATTTTTGGCAGAGTAATGCCCCTTTTACTTTGAAAATAATATGAAATTTACAGTTTCTGTTCTTTATCTACCCAACAGTGTTACATATTCAACTCAAATTTGACATATGGATATGTCAAAGGAATGGGCAGGTCAAGTTGGAATTTGGTCATGGTTCGATGATTTTTTGGCAGAGTTATGTCCCTTTCACTTTGAAAATAATATAGATACATCTTAGGAATAAGCAGTTTAAGTTTGAATTTGGTCGTGGTTCAATGATTTTGGACAAACTTATCTTTCTTAAATGTTGGAAAAATTTTGAACTTTCAGTTTCAGCACTCATACTTTTGTGGAAAGTTTGAATTTCGTCATGGTTCAATAATTTTGGACAAACTTATCTTTCTTGAATGTTGGAAAAAATTTGAACTTTCAGTTTCAGCACTCATACTTTTGTGGAAATGTATGTAGCCATTATTTTGGCTACAAATATGAAATATGCTATTTTCAAAAGGTTAAGACTGAATAATTTCAGTGCTTTGAACATTGTATGAAAATGGTTTGTGTTAACATTGAAAAGTTTTAAGGGCTTTGAACTGCAAATGAAAAAAATAATATGTGCAAACAAATTTGGAGCTAAATATTATTATTATTATTATTTTGGCTGCATGCGGGGGCATCAGTGGCATGATGACACATTTCTAGTTATTATTTGAAACAATGGTATTTTTATTCTCCAAATGAAAATTATATGATTAATATATATGTCAGTGTTAGAATTTTCAGAACATTATGTTATTATATTTCAGAGCCAATCACTGCAATGAGACTGTATAACCCTGATAACTTTGATGTCACCGATACTGACCCTGAACAATGGTAATGATATTATACTCATACAATATAATCTCATAATTGATACATACATGTATCAAAGATATGGACAGATATATACATCATTACATGTATTTATTTCACACCTTATAGAATGCAACCAATAAACTAGCAGCGTTAGCACCATTTGATCCCTTTATAAACCATGTTTGGAACCAACCTTATCCATCTACCTTTTCATTTTACCAGTCCAAAAAAATAAATATTTTAACATTGTACTCGAGAAATAAAGTTCTGTGAAAATGTCAAAAAAAAAACCCTGCTGTGAAATAAGGTCATTATACATTGTTGAGAACAATCCTGATTCTATTGGACTCGTACACTGCTGCATATTCTGTATTGGACTTGGCTAGCGCCTCCTCCTCCAGTATGTGTATTCGTCCAATAGAATTCATTATTGTACCCATCAATGGGACTGTACCCTCATAGTATGTATACATAATGAAAATTAGTTATTTTAAGAAATTATAATGTTACATTCCATTATATTTATTTAGATTTATAAGGCAGCTCCTTGAATGAATCTTGCACATATTTTCAGTTAATAAAATATATATATTTTTATGCTAACTGAACTAACCATATTTTCCGGATAATGTAATGTACTTGGGATTTGTGGCATTGTGTGAGTGGTTAAGATAGCCAACTTCAAACCACTTGCCATTCACTGCTGTGGGTTGGAATCCTTCCTTAGACTTAGAATTATATTCTCCCCTTTGAGGAATCTTGCTAACTAATGAAAGTTTGGTGGTTCTTCTTTTCAGGGACGTCTTGAGGTTTTCCTCCACCAAATAAGCTACAAACTTCCTTCAACATCGTGCTTTAATAAACAGTGTTTAGACTAAGATTCAAGTTTAATGTTTTATCTCATTTTCAGTATGAGAGAGTTACACGAGAGATTGAGAGCTAACGAGCTACGCCAAAAAGACATAGATAGACAACTGCAGCATTTAGAAGATGAAGATGTAGATACGTGATTCTAGTGGAACTAGTTCTGTATAAAAATTGAGCCCCGTCATGACAAAACCAACATAATTGGTTTGCGACCAGCATGGATCCAGACCAGCCTGCGCATCCGCGCAGTCTGATCAGGATCCATGCTGTTTGCTATCAGTTTCTCTACTTGTTATAGAGTTAGTAAGCGAAAACATGGGTCTGGATCCATGCTGGTGGCAAACCCACTATGTTGGTTTTGTCGTGACGCGGCTCAAATTAGTTGTTCTCTCAGTGCAAGGCATTAACAACTTCTAATATAAAGTAAAGAAGTTCTAATATAATATGACACTGTTGCAACGTTTTGTAGTTTTATACAAACTAGTATTGTTTAGACAATACATTAGTATTGTCTTGAGGTGACAGTTTATAGTTTAATTACTTCAGATTACTGATGTTGAACTTTGTATAAGGTAGTATTACTCTTGTAGTTACAAGTTTCACGTTTTGGAATAAACTTGTTGATCTAGAGATATGAAAAAATTTAAAGGCATTTTTCTTTGTAATATGTTTGTTACAAACAGATTGAAGAATGTTTGTTACAGACAATTTGAAGAATGTTTGTTACAGACAATTTGAAGAATGTTTGTTACAGACAATTTGAAGAATGTTTGTTACAGACAATTTGAAGAATGTTTGTTACAGACAATTTGAAGAATGTTTGTTACAGACAATTTGAAGAATATCACAGAAACAATTTGGAGACTGTCACAGTCTGTTTGAAGAATATTTATGACAGACAATTTGATGAATATTTGTGACGTGCTCAGGAAAATTGCATGTAATAGGTTAAAGAAAACAATGTTTGTGACATACAATTGAAAGAATGTTTGTGGAATTTTCAAAACTTGAAGAGTGTTCATCATAGACAGTTTGAAGAGTTATTGTCACAGACATTTTGAAAAGTGTTTATCACAGACCGTTCAAAGAATGTTTCTCACAGACAATTTGAAAAATGTTTGTCACAGACAGTTTTGATATTTAAGAGATAAATCACATATTAAATATGAATTCTTTTTCTGGGGAGCATTTTGTAAATGGTTTCGTCAACTTTTTTCGTGCATTTGTAGAATTGTGAACTCCCCTGTTTTGGATGTAGAATGCCATTTTTGGCACTATTGTTAATGCATTTATTCATTGAAATAATAACCTGTTACATGTGGATAAATAATTTCAGTATTAGATTATGTAAACTGCTGAATTTTGTTTAGTTTCTGTGATGTGTAAATCCTGTGACTTGTTCAGTATATGAATTAATCAAGACTAGTGTGTCAAAACATACTAAAGATGAAAAGCAATACCAGCTAAGTCATTGATAATAGAAGATGTCGATTTGCACTGTATTTTATTCAGGACAAAAACAATCAGAGATTCAGAGATAAAAAATTCCACATGACCGCTTTTAATTACGTGTACAATTGAAGAGAACTTGATGAAGGTCTTAACTTGTAACGGTTTATTTATGTTCAAGTTGACTATATTCAAATTTAAAAAAAAAAAGTGTAAACAAGTATGATAATAAAATCCTGCAGCATAACCTGTGTAGAGCAATTACCTCTCTACAACAACAATTTCAGTTATTCCCGAAGTAAGACATCACAAATTAAACCTTAGTAGAACAATAACCTCCCTATAGCAATAAGAATCTTTTCCTTCCAGAGGGAGTTGCTTTGAAGATGTTAAACGGTATATTTTTGTGAACAGATAAGTGGCACAGAAGGAATAATTGGATCAAAATATTTACCTCCTCATATTTTGTATTTGTTTTGTGACTGTGATAGATTTATTGTGTGCTTTATAGATATATATGATACAAGTTACATGTAGATTATATTAAGATGTCTCTGTACGTAATTGAAATTGAATATATATTATTATTGTAAATGGTTGTTATTTTTTTATTTGCTAAATATTTTCTCTATATCTTTTACCTGCTGCAATGTGATAACCCTTTGCCACCAGTATGAAACCGGACAAGCTTGTAATATGATCCAGAGCTTGAAATATGGTCCAGAGCTTGAAATATGGTCCAGAGCTTGAAATATGGTCCAGAGCTTGTAATATGGTCCAGAGCTTGTAATTTGGTCCAGAGCTTGTAATATGGTCCAGAGCTTGTAATATGATCCAGAGCTTGAAATATGGTCCAGAGCTTGTAATATGGTCCAGAGCTTGTAATTTGGTCCAGAGCTTGTAATATGGTCCAGAGCTTGTAATATGATCCAGAGCTTGAAATATGGTCCAGAGCTTGTAATATGGTCCAGAGCTTGTAATTTGGTCCAGAGCTTGTAATATGGTCCAGAGCTTGTAATTTGGTCCAGAGCTTGTAATATGGTCCAGAGCTTGTAATATGGTCCAGAGCTTGTAATATGGTCCAGAGCTTGTAATATGGTCCAGAGCTTGTAATATGGTCCAGAGCTTGTAATTTGGTCCAGAGCTTGTAATATGGTCCAGAGCTTGTAATATGGTCCAGAGCTTGTAATATGGTCCAGAGCTTGTAATATGGCCCGTTTGTTTTCTGGCTTGTCTGTCCGTCTGCCACTAAACTTGAACCTTTACAGTAACTATTACATTGGAGTCATTCTACTTACAAACCGAAACGTCACAAATGCATGCACCTTGGTGAGCTCTGCCATCCAGACCAACTTTAAGGCCTTTAAGATCAAAGGGCATTGTCACCGGTTGGTTGCATTGTGTTTTCGATGCATTATCATGAATGGGTACACTTAAACGTAATGCTTCTACTTTGATATTGAAATACTTTGAATGGACTATTCCAAATTGATAGTTCTGCCCTTAAGTACACCTTAAATTTTAACATTTTCTTAAATCTTAAGTTTTTGACGACTAAATATACCAGAATGCTACGTGTTCTGTCATTCTACAAGAAAACGACATTTTATTTTCCTATGATAATCAAAGACTAAATATATTGGACAAAATGCGAACGAAAAAAAATATAACTTTAAAATGTCAAATTTATTTATTTTGCATGTATGGTTTACATGTATAATAATATAGTGCACACACTATCAAGTATTCTTAAGTGTGTGGGAGCAAAGTATGCTTTATGTGCTGGAAGTTATACTGGTTTGTACAAAGAATCCTGTGATGGGTGCAGTGGGGTATTGCAGTTGTCAGTAGTACAGCAGAACGTACAGTGGAAGTCCAGGAACTGCTGGTCATTACCGTCAAAGTCTCGACATTTGTCGTCATCCGATGACCCTTCAAACCATTCCCGATAACACGTGTCAAAATTCCCACATCTGTTTAAAAAATAATAATTGATACAGAATATATTTCACTGAGGTATTATAACATATTTTAACCATTCCCGATAACACGTGTCGGAAAGTCCCATACCTGTTTGATAAATAACAATTGCCCTTTATTAGTACAGAATATATTTTACTGAGATATTAAGATAGGATATTAAGTGTTTTTCTTGAATCTTGTTGAAATAAAGCTCTAAGTAAGTTAATTAATAAAAGTAAATATTAAAATAAGCATTAGTCAGATTGTGAGAGACATTTAACAATATATTTTGTATTATGCCCATCCAAATGAAAATGGTTACAGTAGGTATGACATTTTGCCGTAATTGTGTTAAAATAAAGAATAATCTAAATGATCCACGTGAGCAATGGAGATTTCTATAGGTACGAGGGACAGTCAGAGAATATCTCCCTTCTTTCCACGTGCAGCTATATACACACATTATATATTGGTGAAAACTACATTCATTCGCCAATAACGTGGTCAGTTTATTTTAATGATAGTTGTGTATACACAGTATTTTGCCCTCTGATAAATGATAGGTGCTTCGTCTATCATGGACTCTTTATTAGAGGAACAACGCTCTGTAATAAAGTTTCTGGTTGCAGAAGGTGAAAAGCCCTGCCACATCTTTCAGAGGCTTAAAAAAAGATTTTCTGATAAATGTGTATCACGTTCAACCTTCCACAACTGGGTTTCTCAGTTTCGTGAAGGCAGAACTGTAAGTGTTTGTGACAGGCCTAGGACTGGGCGGCCAGCTTAGGTGGTGACCCCAACAATGGCAGCAAATGTTAAAGCTTTTGTCAACAAAAATCGTCGAGTAACTTTGGAGGAGGTAGCCAACAAGTTTAGCATCGGTAAGGCATCGGCACACAAGATTTTACACGAACACCATGGCATGAGCAAGGTAAGTGCCAGGTGGGTGCCTAGACAGCTGTCCGCAGATCAAAAGGCAACCAGAGTAACCAATACAAAAGAACATTAAAGTCGTTTTAATCGTGAAGGAGATAAGTTTTTGAACCGCATTATCACTGGAGATGAGATGTGGGTTCATTATTCCGAACCTGAGACAAAAGCTCAGTCAAAGCAGTAGAAACGAGCTGGTTCCCCACTCCTAAAAAGTTTAAGCTAACTCATTCGGCTGGCAAAGTCATGCTTGTTGCCTTTTTGGATTCACGAGGAATGATACTTACTCATTTCATGCCTAAAGGTCAAACTGTCACCGCCAAGTACTATTCTGAAGTAATTCTGAAAAATCTCAGAGAAAAGCCCCAGGTAAGCACATAAAAATGTCCTCTTTCTTCACGGTAACGCCCCCTCCCATACCGCCGCAGTTACAGTGGAGGTTACCAACTCTTACAAATGGCAATTGTTGTCTCACCGTCCTTATAGCCCAGACCTCGCCCCCTGTGACTTTTATTTGTTTCCAGAACTGAAAAAATTGCTTGCTGGAAAGAAATATAAGACCAGGACGGCTTTGATATCTGCTGTTACACAGTACCTAAAACATAGGTCTACGTCATGGTTCACAGCGGGAATACAAAAGCTCCCACGAAGGTGGCAAAAGTGCGTAGACGTAGGTGGAGAATATTTTGAAAAAGAGTAGAAAGATTTTTTTTAAAAATGTTGAATGGTTTTCGAGAACGAGTCAAAAGTCCGGATATTTTCTGACTTCCCCTCGTACGGTTCTATTCATTATGTATTGGTAACATTCGATCAAGAGTAGGCAGTCTTTTTTGTAATCCAAGTCATTTAATATTGTATCGTAAACAATTATAAACTATTTTCATTATCAAATATTGGTTTAATCACCATTATAAAAGTCAATCTTTTGAAATACATTGTATATTACTATTTCAACTCAACATGACAGCAAATTATTAAGCATAATGTCACTTTCCTTCAAAATAAACAGATAATAACGAAAGAATAAAAAAATAAAAAATTTAATTTAACAAAAATAACTTCCAATATTTATCAACTAGCCTGCTATATACATTGATCAAATAAAACTAACAATCGGAGCATAATTACCTAATACAAAAACCAACAAGGGGAGCATATCTAATACAAAAACAAACAAGTGGATCATATCTAATGCAAAAACCTACAAGTGTAGCATAACTAATACAAAAATGAACTATTGGAACTCAACTAATACAAAAACTAACACTTGGAGCATAACTTATATAAATAGAACTGCCACTGTCTTGGCGTGAATACCCCCGCATACCACTTTGTCAGAATCAACAGTGGTCATTTAGAGCTCAAGGACAACCTCCCTGCCAAATCTTAGGTAAGTAAGCCAGTGCATTGCTAAGTTATGTATTCTACATACTTCAAATGTGAAAATGTCAAAATCAATACACTGAGGACCTTAAGCATTTGAGCAAACAAGCTTATTGTAGTAAAAGCCCCTGTGACCTTGACCTTTGACACAGTCACCCAAAAATCAATAGGGGTCATCAAGTAGTTATAAACCTCAATACCAAATATGAAGACTGTTGACCAAAGCATTCTTAAGCAATTGAGCCAACAAGCATTTTTAGGTCAAGGTCCCTGTCACCTTTGACCCAGTGACCTCAAAACCAATAGGTGTCATCTAATAATCATAAACAACCTCAATACCAAATATGAAGACTGGGTCAAAGGATTCTTAAGTTAATGGGCAGACAAGCTTTTTTTAAGTGAAGGCCCATGTGACATTGACCTTTGACCTCAAAATCAATAGGGTTTATCTAATAATCATGACTAACCTGCATGCCATATATGAAGACAGTGGGTCAAAGGAATATTAAGTTATTGGGCGGACAAGCTTTTTCAGTGAAGGCCCCTATGACCTTGACCTTTGACCCAGTGACCTCAAAATCAAAAGGGGTCATCTTCTCATCATGATACCTCCATATCAGATATGAAGACTGTGGGTCTTAGAAATCTTAAGTTATTAGGCGGTCAGGCTTCTTTTTTAGTTAAGACCCCTTGACCTTTGACCCAGTGACCTCAAAATCATGAGGGTCATCTACTCATCGTGACTAACCTCCACGCCAAATATAAAGACAAAATCGATAGGGGTCATCTTCTAATCATTAATACCTGCATGCCAAATATGAAGACTGTGGGTCAAAGGAATCTTAAGTTATTGGGCAGATTAGCATTTTGAAGTCAATGCCCCTGTGACATTGACCTTTGACCTGGTTACCTCAAAATCAATAGGAGTAATTTTCTAATCATTACTAACCTGCATGCCATATATGAAGACAGTGGGTCAAAGGAATATTAAGTTATTGGGCGGACAAGCTTTTTCAGTGAAGGCCCCTATGACCTTGACCTTTGACCTGGTGACTTCAAAATCAATAGGGGTCATCTACTTATCATGACTAACCTGCATGCCAAATATGAAGACTGTGGGTCAAAGGAATTTTAAGTTATTGGGCGGTCAAACAAAAACCGACGGACAGCCGGTATACCCCCTTACAACTTTGTTGTGCGGGGGTATAAAAACTAACAACTGGGACATAACTAATACAAAAACACTCTTTATAAACAGGTGGTTGTTTCAAATAAGGAGTAAATTGAGCACTTACGATCTCTCAACAGTTTTGGTACCATCTAGATGGTTGGTTATGGAGTTGATACAATAATTGTTGGGTGGGGCACAAGGTGTCGGCGCAAACAACTTTTCACACAGAAACTTGGGACCAGAACACACCGCACACATTGCTGTAATCATGCTTGTGATTATTAACAAGGCATTTGATTAATTTCAAATTGCGTTATACATTGTATTACTGATAACAAAGAAAACACAATTTACATAGTTCAAATTTTTGATCATTGACATCTAAAGCAGAGTTCATGTGGCTTTAAATGCCAAAATATGTATTTATTATACCATACATAAACTTTTTACTATGTAGCCTATATTGCAATATTCAACAGGGGCGATTAATCTATAAAGACTTAAAAAAACATTATGTTCTAGTTCTCTCCCCTGGTCGCAATCAATGACGGATGATGCTTACAGTAATAGTGCATACTAGCATATTTGCAATCCTTGAGCTGAAATAACACCATAGGCTCCGCCTCGATTGTTATTTCAGTCTCGGCAGCCGATGAAGGAAGACAATCCTGTGTTTTATGATGTTTAAGTAATAGATTTTGAACATGTTAGATGTTTATCTAATCAAATAAGCAGCATTGAATGTAAAATAATTTGAAATTAAATTTGGACTTTAACAATTGGTATTTTGTCCTCCAAACAAAATACTACATTACTATAACTTATATGACCAAAAAACAAAAGAACACCAACAACTTAATAAAAGACATACTTTTTATAGGAAAGAATTGACATTTTAAGGCTATATAAACGTCTTTAAGGGGAAATGATATTTATGTAGACACTGTTATAAAATTGTGAAAAAATGACCCGAACGGAATGTAAAGATTTCTTACTAGTTACTGGAGGAATTGTTTTTGGTGGAACACCAGTTGATGCAGCGAGTGTTGTTGTTGTTTTAGTTGTCGGTACGGGGGTGGTCGTTTTGGTAGTTGGTAGTGTCGTGGTTGTTGTAGTTGGAACTGTAGATTTTGTTGTAGGTACTGTCGTGGTTGTAGTCGTTGGAACTGTTGATTTTGTTGTAGGTAGTGTCGTGGTTGTAGTTGTTGGAACTGTAGATTTTGTTGTAGGTTGTGTC